TCCAAGTGAGGAGAAACATACAAAAAAGGAAAACACGTTGTGTCTAATCAATTTCATACAAAAATGCAGATTACAATTCAACTTTCAGTAGATTACTGATTAAATAACTTTAAATAAGATTAAAACTTACTTTTAGCAGAAAACTTATTCTCTTTTCTAGTTCGTGCAGTTTTCTTTAAACAGCCATCACAGACAAATCTAAAATGTAAACCAAGACTTTGCTTACACAAAATAGCATTTAAGTTAACATAGATTAAAAAACACCCCAAAACAAAACTTGTCATCTGCATAAAATTAAAATTCAGAAGACAACCTCACACAAGTATTTCTGCATATACAACAAAAGGTTAATACAAAGAATACACACAGCACCTTTAGGAATCARTAAGAAAAATTTTAAGAAATGTGAAGGGCAAATAAATTGGTTTATATATGAAAAGATTACATTACAAACTAAGACAGGAATATTCTCCTGGACAATCACAGTGGCACAAGTGTTGATATTTCCTAAATGCTACAGGTAGAAATGTACATTTTAAAAGTAGAACCAACTGATTTCAAATATACATTCTCTTTGTTCCTATAATTACATGTGTGTACATGTAGTTTCTTGCAACCTGAAATCACATAAATATCAATAATTAACTAAATGGGTTACAGTTCATTACAGAAACTAATGATCCATTAAAGATATAGCAGACTTAGGCATGGTGATATACCCCTGTAATCCCACGTACTTGGGAGACTGAACTAGGAGAAGAACAAGTTCAAGGCCAGCCTGGGAAACATAGCAAGACCCTGTCTCAAAACTAAAAAAGCTGGGCACAGTGGCACATGCCTGTAATCCCAGCTACTGGGGAGACAGAGGCAGAAGATCACAAGTTCAAGGTCAGCCTCAGCAACTTTGAGACCTGCCGCAGTCTGTCTGGGCACAATTCAGGAGCCACTTGTCAAAAGAAACTAACTTTATTTTTAGAATTACAAACGCCAAACAAAACAGCTCCTCAGGAAAAAACCCTCAGAGCCCAAATGCCACCACCAACTGCCAATCATCAGCTGGCAGCTGGAAGTTTGCTGGGGCCCCTTTGGCTGTGGCTCTCAACAGAGACCCTATCTCAAAAAGGGCTGGAGATACAGCTCAGGGGTAGAGCCCTTGCCTACTATGTCTAAGTTGCTGGCTTTGATCTCTAGTATTATCCAAAATTAAAGGAATCAAAACCAAATCCCAAAAGCCCCAAAATGCAGCACACATAAATGAATGTCCCTGATGTATCAGATGCAAAAACTAAAAAAATAGAACTAGTATTTACATCAGTAAAACATAATGGCTGGTAAACAGAAATAGATGTGGGAACTGTTAGCCATGGTTATTCTGGTGGTGAGGAATTTGGGTRGAAGAGAAGAAAGAATCTTATTTTTTTACTTTATTGATTTAGAAAAAAAGCAAGCTTAATAATGTAAATATTATTTCAAATTAGCTGACTGCTCCTAAATTGTAGTAACCATAAGAAATCTCTTTAATCATAATCATTCTTATCAAGTCTACAATTATTAAATAGAGCTCTAAAAAAGCACACTTCAAGATAATTCAAACTGAAAATTAAGTAGTAACTAAAAATCACCTACTGTAATTTTCCTTGGAGTTAGAAGTTTCTTCAAAAACAAAACCCAAAAACCTTTTTTTGGCAGTGCTGGGGGTCAATTCCATATTTTCTGTAAAAATTTTAAATAGTTTCCCCTTTCCTATGTGACCAAACCAGCATTAATAATTTGTCCAATATGTAATGGAGATCCATGAAGCCCCGTATTTCCCCTTCTTTCTTGGGAATGGAGCTGGGATCAGCTCCACTATTGCATAGTGAAAGGTTGTCTGTCCCTCTCTCAATATGAGCCTATACTGCAAGTACAGCTATGTAACTTGTCCCCATCCCCACCAAAAACTGTTTAAGTCAAAACACTTAGCAAAGTCATCACATTCATAGCATGTGTTCTAAAGTAGTAACAAGTGTCCCTCACCAATATCTATCTGTATCTATTTTTCTATTGCTATATGACATCTAACACCTGCTTTATCAAAAGATTTACTTTTGATATAACAATTTTAATGTAACACCCAGCGGAATAAAATATACATATATGAATGAAAAGAATGCATGCAAATAAGAGAGAAATCTATTTTTTATTTTTGGATTTTAGGTTATTTAATGTTTCAAACATTAAATCATACTGATATTTTTCCCAATCCAAAGAAAACATTTTAAAGACAGTAACTCTGAAGGTAAAAATGGTTATGGCAAAGAAAAAAACTTAATATTCATGAAGAAAAATTCCAGAGAAAACATTGATATAAGCCTCACCCAGCTGGCCAGATGATCTCATGATGAAGGACACAGATCTGATGCATCTTCCTTCCACACTCTGTACATTCAACAAACCTGAAATTGCAAGCCAATGCCAAAATTAACACAGAAACTTCAATGAAATTCAAACTGAAAATTAAGTAGTAACTAAAAAAGAAATTTCCAGGGTTGGGTTATAGCTCAGTGATAGATCATTTGCCTAGCATGTATGAGGCACTGGGTTTGATTCTCTCAGCACTACATATAAATGCATACATAAAGGTCCATTGACAACTAATTTTTTTTTTTTAATTTCCAGTATTTCTTTTCTTTTTTTTTTTTTTTTAGAGAGAGAGAGAATTTTAATATTTATTTTCCAGTTTTCAGCGGACACAACATCTTTGTTTGTATGTGGTGCTGAGGATCGAACCCAGGCTGCACGCATGCCAGGCGTGCGCACTACCGCTTGAGCCACATCCCCAGCCCCCAAATTTCCAGTATTTCTAACAATTCAAAAGCTAGCCAAGGTCAAGCCCAAAAAACTTGAAAAACAATTTAACGAACTTTTTATTTTTAAAATGTTTAGTATTTATAGATAAAGCAAATTTCAAAAGTGATAATATTCTGTCATTAAATGTGACCATCTTAGATTTGACTATGGAAAGTCAATATAAATTTCTGTACATAACAAATTTCTGTATTGTCTMAACGAGTCCAATACCATCCCCATCCATTGTAGAAACACCTAAAAAACTGGTATATTTCAGTGCTCCAGGTGCTTCAAATGAGGGGATTATGAGCATGTACTGTAAATGCAGGACATAATGGAACATGGAATACAAAGCACTGAGCAGAGGTAATGTGATGTTTCACATGGGCCCATAGAAACACTATGAACAGCTGTGCTGGGGATATAGCCCAGTGGTAGAGCGCTTGCCTAGTGTATGTGAGGCGCTGATTCCTTAACCAGTACAAAAAAAAAAAGAGAGAGAGAGAGAGAGAGAGAGAGAAAGAAACACCACCACAATAAAACATTAAATCATTCAGTAAAATATATATGAACACTACTACCTGGAAATACAAACTAACACAACAGGCGTAGTTCCTAAATGCTTTCCATATTTTTTCTGGCAATTTAAATGTACATCATGTATATTTAACACAGAAATATAGTCATCTGATCATGGAAAACGAGAATGAAAGAAAGGAAAAAAGTCAAAGTGTATTGATTGGTCAAGAGAAACTACTTACAATTCAGGATCCAATGTGTCATTTTTTCTCTTGGAAAACTGTTCTTTATTTATTGTACTAAGGAGAGAAAACAGACACTATGAGAAAAGGCAATAGAGAAAGATGAGCAATCTAACCATATCTAACTAAAGGGATCACACCCACATAGTAGATGGATAATTTAGATACTTTAACGGGTGTGTGTGTGTGTGTGTGTGTGTATACATATACATATATGCATTCTTGGGCTACACAAATGCATGCTTATGAAAAGGAATTTTCAACAGGACTTTATAGTACATAAATTTGCCCTAAAATGAAACGAAGAACCCAGATTTAAATATAAAAATTCTTTTTCTATCTGACCCACTGTTTTACACACTTTTTTATAAGCTTGATGTAAAACAGCAGGAAGTAAACCCCTATTTAAAAAAATTCTCTATCAGTAATGTCTCGACACTCAACTTTTCTATCAWGAGAAAATCTCAACATTAAGAATACAGTTACTCCATGGTATCAGAGGGAGCCAGGAACACTATAACTATAGATACTAACAATCCACAGATGTTCAAGTCTTTTATTTTTGATTGACAGTTAGAAATGGAGGCTAAGTTTGAAGAACAAAAATTCTATATTTCATATACAGTATATACACATATATATTTAAAGCAATTTCCCATGGCAGCCCTTTCTGAAGTCCAGCACATCATACTGCTTTGGCCTTAGTACATACAGAAGCTATGGATCTCACATGCATTTCCTACACAAGTTATCTGAATGGTGGGTCTTAGGCTCTCTAAGTATGATCTGAAGTCAGAGAGCACCAGGAAGATCTGGGTACTTTTAGAAATGTAGACTCTTTTAGATTAAAGTAATTTAGATTAAAGTAATTTTTAAAGCCAGAGACATTGCCTTGAAGTTTGGAACACTTGGTAGGCCACTTCTGAATCAGTGAAACCTGCCCTAGAGTGAACCTCCCTGCTTTAGCCAAGAGTCAGAATGCCTCCTTGGGAAACCAAGGTTCCCAGCACCCACAGTCTCAGACTAGAACCCAGAACTTCTATCCTGTATTTCAATAGTGACTGAAAGGGAAGTGCAACATTATAATCCAGGTTTTCTCAGAATCCCGTTTGTACTATTTTACTACTTTTGTGGAATGTACTCCACATCTTCTGTTTAAAGAGTTATTCTTTCTTAAATAAATAGTGTATCTAAATTTTAGAAATTAAAATTGCAGTTAAGGCAGCATTTACCAAACTGGTAAGAGCTTATGAGACTGCAAAACCCAACTAGGTCTATTAAAGCCCTACATGTTAAGACTGTTATTTTTCAGAAGATAGGGTACTTTTACTCTATCTAAACTGACTGTCCAATGTGGACATATCCCTAGATCAGCACTGTCTAGTAGAGCTTTATGCCATGATGGCTATGTGCTGATAACTAGCCATAGATGGCTACTGGGCATCTGAAATGTAAGCGTACAACTGAGAAGTTACTTCTGTTTTTGTTTTTTTTAATTTTTAACTACCCACCCGAGACTAATGGCTATGATACAAGCAGGACCAGCTAACACCTTGTAGAAGCCCAAGTATCATCATCTGAAAACAAACTGAGGGGAGGGAAGAAAAAACAAAAACAAGCAAACAAACAAAAAAAAACACTTCTCAAAATAATGCAGTTACTTACGTTTGGGGCTGGGAAGGGTCATCCCCCAAAGAAACGCTCTCCCCTTGGATTTCATTGAAACACTTCTCACAGAAATGATACCTGTCGGCAAGAAGGCCATACTGGGGTGAACTGTTCCGTTCACACAACACAGCCCAAGCCAAGCAACGAAGCCACCAATCACAGCAGGCCAAGGAGGGGGACGGGAGCAGAGAGCAGGTCATCAACGGCGACAAGGACATTCAATGATGCAGATTTATGGGCCCCACAGTTTGGGTTTTTTGGTTTTGGTTTGGTTTTTTGTTTTTTTGCAATCAAAGCCAAGTGCAGACAACGACAAGCATGAGGGAGAAAAAAAAAAACACAAAACAAACGAAGAAATGAGGGATTGCAGGACAACAAAAAACATAAAAGCAAGACAGGACAACACAAAGCAGAAAGCCAAGGCAAAGCACAGATTAGCATTAAATATCTCAACGGGATCACAAGTAGCAAATGATTACAGCAAATAAAATAAAAAAATTTCACTTACACAGACCCATACCCTTTCACTTCACTAGCTATTGCTACTTGATGTAAATAATCAGGAGGAGGAAGAATGATAAATATACCAGAGAGGAGACTGTCACTCTCACCMCTACCTAAACATGGCAATCACACACTACTTCTTCCCACTTCCAAAAAGAAAAACAAAAGAACCCAGTTGGGCAAGGCACAGTGGCGCACGCTTCCTCAGGAAGCTGAGCCAGCAGGATCTCGAGTTCAAAGCCAGCCTCAGCAAAAAGAGAGGTGCTAAGCAATTCAGTTAGACCCTGTCTCTAAATAAAATACAAAACAGGGCTGGGGGTGTGGCTCAGTAGTTGAGTGTAATCCTTGGTAACTAAAAAAAGACCCACTAGGGATACAGTAGAAGGAAATAATTTCTCCAAAAACAAATGATTAAAGAACATAAAATACAATCCTAAAGTAGCCTTAAGTAAAAAAGATAGTTTTTCTCTGAATAGATTCCACACAAAGTAGTTAAATACACATTATACCCATTATATACTTCAAAAGGGCGGGGGGAAGCAGCGGTGTATTCAGGTATGATTAAATGTGCATTGGTAAGAAATAAAAAAAGGGGGCTGGGGTTATGGCTCAGTGGTAGAGTGCTCGCCTCACACGTATGAGACCCTGGGTAAGATCCTCAGCACCACATAAAAATAAATAAGTGAAATAAAGGTATTGTGTCCAACTAAAAAATATTTTTTTAAAAAGTACTATACATTGTTGTTAAAAATCCAAAAATGGCATAAATCAAGATTATGAGGAAAGTTTCACGCCAGTTGTTACCTGAATTTTTAAATACAACGTGCTTATGTAACTTTAGTCTCCCCTTTCCTGACTTTCAAGGAATTAAAAAAAAAAAAATCTGGATTCTAATACCTACAAAGTATTAGAACTCTTCTAAGTAAACAAAGTTTGGGCGAGTTTTCAAGGCTAGAAATGCATCTGTAGCACACAAGTTCAACAAAACCCCAACACCATGGGCTTGGTATTATTATTTTTAAAAATTTTTTAAGTTGTTGATATACCTCTATTTTATTTACTTATTTTTATGTGGTGCTGAGAATGGAACCCAGAGCTTCACACATGCTRGATAAGCGCTCTACCACTGAGTAACAACTCCAGCCCCAGGTTTGGTATTATTAAAAGACTAAAGGCATTTAACTACCCAGTCCTACTGTTACTACTGTCAGAAACTGCAAAATAAACATCCAATGCAAGCTATATTGGAGCCTCATTATTGAAAACAGGAGATTAATCATGTTTAAAACAGATTCAAGAATGCAATTTTTGTGATTATTGGTTACTAACTGAGCAGGAGAAAATGCTTAGTTCATTACAAGTCTACCAATCTCCACAATATCTAGTTTGTTTTTTTTTTTTTTTAGAGAAGTCAGGTACAAAACTATTTTGAAGGTTTTCCTTTTAATTTACTTGAAGAGAACAAAGCAAATACTCTTAAATCCTATTTTCATCTCTTCTAAGAGCTACTAAGGGATAGGCCACACAGAAAAAAACATAACAAAACAAAACACAACACCTAATTTTAGCCACGTGCAGTGACACACGCCTGTAATTGCAAATTGCAGTGGTCTGGGAGACTGAGACCTCAAGCAACTCAGCAAGACCCTATCTCTAAATAAAATATTTGAAAAGAGATTAGGGATGTGGCTCAGTAGGTTAATGTTCAATCCCTGGTACCAGAAAAAAAAATACAATAGTAATTAAAGCCTACAAATTTTAATTCAAAGTTTTACAGTAGGCTGTGGCAATTAATAAAAGCACAACATAAAGAGATGTGGAATCTGGATACAGTCCCAGGAGCTCACAAAGTTGCATATCTTCCCAAGCTCTTGGGTTCCTCCTGTATACAAAACYCAGGGCTGGGGTATAGCTCAGTATTGCCTAGCATGTGTTGAGGTCCTAGTTTCAATCCCCAAACAACAAAAAAATAAACAAATAAATAAAGGCCCAGACAACTCAAGCAAGGGTATTTTTTTGCTAGGAAATTTTATAATTCTGCAAGCAAAGGCAGAAAACAATGATAGAACTTGTGGCGTACAGGTGTATTCAAGCAAGTTACCATGATGCATGTGTGCTTGTTCAGCTGCATGCAACTTCCTAGACACAAGGACACATGAACTGCAGTCTACATGTGGTCAAGCTTACCTGTTCTGGTAGCTGTAGTAAGTAGCATCACGAGGGATTGTGCATAACTGTTTGCCATAGCAACACAGTGTCTGTGGAGAAAACTCCAACTGCAAAAGAAATATTTTGTTAAAGAGCACAGTGTGAAGTGTGAGTTAGAATAGTCACAATGGAAAATCTAAACAAGAGTTAGTGATGTCTTAGTTTTCATTTATGTTAATTACAACAGACTTCAGTTTCCAAAAAACATTCTAAGTTGAAAGTTCACCATCTGAGGTAGACCAAGCAGTCTTTTATTTCTGTCCCATTCCACAGACCCCACTAGGACAAGTACAGGTCAAACACTGTGATTGGGTATGCAAAAGAAAGCTAGTAGATGTTCTGCAATGTACACATACAGTGGAACAGGAAAGAGCCCCTATTCCAGATGAGCTTAGTCTGATGATTTGGCATTCTAAGGTCTAGTTTGCCTTATAATTCATGTCTGTGTACAAAATGTCTTTACAGAAAGCCCATTCTATACAAATAATATATTACTGTGATGTGTGAAACTAACAATAAACAGTGCATTTAGAGAAAGGTCCTCTTGGGGCCGAGGATGTAGCTCAGTGGTAGATTACAGGCCTAGCATGCCTGATGCCCTAGGTTTAATCTCCAGCACAGGGAGGGGAGAGGGAGAAGACAAGASGGAGAGAGAGAAAGACATCTTATAATTTAAAGGCAGATTTGAAAGCCATTTCTTACCTTTCTGCCACAACAATATCCAAGGCTTTGCATGACTGGGTCAATTTCTTGTTCAAAGACCTCAGAGAGCTTGGAACAGTATTTGTATACCCGTGAAGTTTTCCGGTTATATAGCCAGGCATTGTTGAACATGAGCCAAATGTCGTCCACATATTGCCAAGGCTCTTGATACTGTCCAGTGTCTAACTTCCTCTTGATGGTAGAAAGATCCATGGGGCTTTTCACAATATCAAAGTAATCCTATAAGGACAAGTGACATCCAACAACATTATTCACTCTTTGGGCAGTGTATTTGAGGCAGAATGGAGTACTCTATTATACTCTTTTAATTTTCCATGTAATTGAAGTTTTGACCTGTTTATATTCCTAAGAGTAGACTAATATCCATCACATCTTCAAATCAGTTTATATACACATGAAGTGGTACAGAGGGCAAGGAGAATAAAGCTAGTAGGGATTCTCAAGACAGTAGGCTGATGGTCCCCAAAGTAACTCCAGCTGCTATGCCATAGTACACATGAGATTGGTACAAAGAAGACAAGTCTTAAAAACTCACTGGAAGGGGCCTATACAAATGAGGAAATGAAGCCCAGAGAACTAAAGTGCTACATCTAAGGTCAAAGGAAAAACGAACTCCTGAAGGATTTTTGCCCCTGGAAGCACTCATGTATCCTGTCTAATAAATTTTAAAATCTTCCAATGAAAGCTGCTAGCAGCTTGGTGTATATAATGGCATTTTTAAAAGGACACAAAACTGGGCTGGGGATGAGGCTCAAGCGGTAATGTGCTCTCCTGGCATGGGCAGGCTGGGTTCGATCCTCAACACCACATAAAATAAAGATGTTGTGTCCACTGAAACATAATTATTAAAAAATTCTCTCTCTCTTAAAGGACACAAAACTAACTTGGGACCACCATAAATCATAATACCCAGAAATTCTACTCCTAAAGTAGTTACCAAAGAGAAATATAGACATATCTACAATAAAAACATGTACATGAATATATAAAGCAGTGCTACCCTCAATAGCCAAAAAGTGGAGATAACCAAAATGTCTACCAATTMAACAATGAATAAATGAAATGTGGTATTATCTATTATTAAAGCACAAAAAGGGATGAAGTATTGATTTTTTTCATTTTAGAGATGGGGTCATGCTATGTTGCCCAGGCTGGACTCAAACCTCCTAGTTCTCCTGCTTCAACCTCCTAAAGAGCTGGATTATAGACACATGCTTGAGGTACTGACTGATGCTATAAAATGGCTGAACTCTCCCCAACTGCCCCCTAAAACTTGAAAGATATTATACTAAGTCATAAAAGATTATTGTGTCCACCTACAACTTAAAAAAAAAATAAATAAAAAATAAAGAAAGAAAGAAAGAAAGAAAGAAAGAAAATGAATTAAAATTATGGTGACTGTTGTACAACTCTGGGAATATATACTAACTATGAACTTTAAATAGGTGACTTGTGGGGCTGGGGATGTGGCTCAAGTGGTAGCGCGCTCGCCTGGCATGCGTGCGGCCCGGGTTCGATCCTCAGCACCACATACCAACAAAGATGTTGTGTCCGCAGAGAACTAAAAAATAAATATTTAAAAAAATTCTCTCTCTCTTAAAAAAAAAAAAAAAATAGGTGACTTGTATGTGTATTACACCTCAATAAAACTGGTACCAAATTAAAACCAAAGAAAAKAAATACTTACAGGGATTCCCAGAAGCTGAGGGTCCACGGGTTGACGAAAGGGAAGGGATTCTGGGTCCTGTCGGTAAAGTGCCTCTAATGTTGGCATCAGTGCCTGTCGTAGTTCTTCTGGTTTGAAAACTTTAAAAGTACATTTAAATTGATTATCAATTGAAACAAACCATTTAAAAAAAAAACATTCAAGCTGAAGTTTAAGTACTCAAGACTCACAAAATACCAAAGTGATTATACTGGGCTAGAGGTATAGCTCAGCRATGGAGTGCTTGCCTAGCATGATCGAGGTCCTAGGTTTACTGACTAGCATAGAAGGTGACTACACTGTCCTCCAGGAAAGGGCTTGTTTCCTGATTCTAACTCCTGCTCTTTACAGGCAGTACCTTCAAAACAGCATGACTTGTCACCACAATTATAAGCTCAGTTAATTTTCCAGTCATAAATTCAGTTAACAGATACTCGGCTAAGTAGAAAGAGAAGCCAAGGGCAATTAAAAATCTATGAAGAGATGTCACAAAATAATAGTCCGAAAGATACGGGTGGTAAGAGAACAGAAAATGTTCTTTCATGACACCAGTATTTACGTAACAAAGCCAGAAATAGACCTGATTCTGTCCTATCACTAAAGGAATTGAAGGCACTCAAAGAGTCTCTGATTAAAATACTTGATGTTTTAGAGCTGAGGAGTAAAAATGGTGTATTATTTTAACAGTGGATACTAGGGTTTATGTGTAAAATTTAAAAGAGAGAGAGAGAGAGAGAGAGAGAGAGAGAGAGAGAGAGAACTAAATTGTTGTTGTTAAGAATAAGAGTCTCGGTTATTCAAAACCTGTTCTTTTCCCAAAAGTCAAGAAAGATTTGCTAGCATTTCCAACGAATGGAATTAATTTAAGCCATCATTCAAGAAACTAGTGATTAAGGATTCAACTTTGAATAAATAAAAATAAAAACAAAATACTCTGAGAAACGGAAGGCCTTGATCTAAAAATTAACTTCACCTTCAGGTACATATTCGTTAGTACTTTTAGATATTGTTCACTTCAGTGAGGAACTGCTATGAAAAAAAAAATTACACTACAGAGAGGAGAGAGTTCTATCACAGACTTCTTTGTACTCAAAATAARTGAGTAAACGTGTTAGATTAGATTTTTWAATTTTTTTTTAGTTGTTGATGGATCTTTCTTTATTTATACATGGTGCTGAGAATTGAACCCAATGCCTCATACATGCTAGGCAAGTACTATACCACTGAGCTACAATCCCAGCCCTACAGATTAAATGTTTTGAAGAGAGATCCCTAATAGTTAAATACTGCATYTGTGGGGCTGGGATTGTAGCTCAGTGGTAGAGCACTTGCCTTGCACGTGTGAGGCCCTAGGCTGGATCCCCAGCACCACATAAAAATAAACAAATAAAAATAAAGATATCGTGTCCATCTGCAACTAAAAAAAAAAAAAAAAAAAAGACTGCATTTGTTACAACCTACCTACATTGAAATACCATCTCAATACTTAACAAATATTTTAAATGAAAAATTTTAAACTTGGTATTTTATGTCATATTTTTAGAAAATTTTTATAAACATCATCTCTAAGATTTAGCAGATCACTTACCTGAAGGATCACCAAGAGCCATAAGAAGCTCTAGTTCTAGTTTTTGGGAGTTATCTGAGTTGAACACTCTGCCCAGGTACTATATCTGGCTGAGTAACCTGGGGCTAGTTACTTAAACTTGCTAAGTCTTAGTCTTCCTGCCTGTTAAAAATTTCAGACTTAGGCTGGCTCAGTGTTGTGGCTCAGTGGTAGAACACTCGCCTCGTATGTGTGAAGCCCTGGGTTTGATCCTCAGTGCCACATAAAAATGAAATAAAGGTACTGTGTCCATCTACAACTAAAAGAATATTTTAAGAAAACAAAACGACCTTCAGAGTTGTTGTGTAGTTTTTAAGTGATAYAGTTGCTGGTCCTTGTCACAAAGAAAGCAAACCATAAATGCTACTGTTATTAGTGCTACTCTTTCCTGCATTTTAGTCAAGGATATAATTCATCCATTTTTCTCTTCTGAAAAAGATAATTTCTCAAAGGTGCTAATGAATAAACCCTGAAGAAATGAGGGGCACGACTGACTCAGCAGTCATATCAAGTGCAAATACCTACAGGAAAAAAATTTTTTCAATAATAGTAAACCAAGCTCAGGGCCCCAAACTTAATGAAATCACGTTACTAGTTATTTCTGAGGCCCAAGAGGCCCAATCCTGTTCTATTCTGGGTCTTTGTTTTTTCTCTACCTCCAGAAACAAACAGCCTAAAAAATCTTACTCTTTTTCTTTGACTGTCCGGGAGCTGGAGAAGACTGGGTAGCTGAAGTACTTGGATGGTCTTCCTCCTCTTTTATTTCAGTTTTTAACTCTGTGCCTCTCTCTTCTGTTTCTGCAGGTTCCACTTTACAGTCTTCAGCTTTAGCCTAAAAGATAAGGTACGTATTTTCTGTATTTCAAAAACATTCAGTTGGGAAACAATACAATTAATAACATAATTAACTCTCTCCCCTGGACACATCTGGAGTCTTTCTCACTGGAAAAAATCAATGTAATTAGACCTAATTATCAGAATACTTTCCTAGAATATATTTTTCTTTAAATCAGGAGTCATAATCAAATCATAGCAGTTACCTGCTCTACTCTTACCTCTGGAATATCCTCCGACTGAGTGTCTGCTGGTTCTGATTGATCCACTTCCATTTTGGCCTCCAGTTTTACTTCCTGTGATGGCTGCTTCTCAGGAATGGTCTGAGAATTCACTTCTGTGCTACTAGTAGATGGAGGGTTTGACACCTGTCCTTCAATGCTTACAGCTGGCTGGGAAAGCTATAGAGAAAGAAGGGGAAACACACCAAAAGTTTGCCAATTACACAAGTAGAATTTAAGTTACATAGAATTACACACCAATATTTTGGCTAGTGCCATTATATATCCACTTATGGTGTGCAATTTAGGAACAGGAGATTAAGGCCTTTGTGATACAGACAGGCTGATTATTTTTTGCTAATTACCATTCTGTGGAACTATGTGAGTAGTGGAGTTCCAAAGATGACTTTCTCAGAGAAGCTCACATGTATCAAGAAATGAAACAAGCTAACAAAAGGATAACTATTTTTCTTTTAACCTCTCATTAGCAAAAGTTTCAAATACACAGAAAAGCAGAGAGAACAAATATAGTGAACTTCCTTACACAAAGATTATTTTGAATTAACACAAGCATGTGTTGGAATCCCTGGCAATTTTAATCTTTTATTTTTCAAAATAATAGTATTATTTTTTAGTTTTCGGTGGACACAACATCTTTATTTTACTTTTATGTTGTGCCGAGGATTGAACCCATCGCCCGGCGCATGCCAAAACGAGCGTGCTACCGCGTGAGCCACATCCCCAGCTCTGGCAATTTTAATCTTTCCTTGAAGACTTCCCAATGAGAAATGTTACAGGTCTGGAGGAACTAGCTCAGTGGTACAGTGCTGTGTGCAAAGCCCAAAGTTTTATTCCCAGTACTGTATTATATTAGGAACAAAAAAAGTCATAATTAGTCATATTTTTCAAATCTACCATATTAAAGAAAAAGATCAAGCAAATTTGGACTTTTCTTTTTTTGTTAAACATTGCAAATGATTTTATTTAGTACTTCTGTAGCAACATTGTCTCTTAGACCATTCTTAAGACTTTAAGAACGAAACAATGATGTAAAGCTTTCTTTCATACATGACAATAATGGAGTGCATTACATTCATAATTATCCATTCACAGCAATTTTTCGTAACTCTGTATATAAAGTATGTTCACACCAAATTATACCATTATACATGAGCTCTCTTAATTCTTTTTGCATACAATTCTTAGTACACCTTTATACCACCATTTATCATATCTGTTTGTATGTATATAAGGTATGTTGACACCAAATTTACATCTTCAAAATTTGGTCTTTTCTATATTCTGCCCTTCCTTGTTTTTTAGAGGTTACTGCTAGGACTTAATTCACAAACATGACTGAGCTAAAATATTAGTATCAATCATCAAGGCAGAAAGTCTAAGCCTTACAGAGTTCTTTAAACAGAGACTCATGTACTAGATGAAAATTTGGACCTTTTACCATAAACATAACCAACCTGTCACAAAGAAGCTACATGTTGTGGGCCTATAATTCTTTCACCTTAGATCACTTTTTTCTTTTTTGGTGGAGGGGACGGAACCCAGGGCCTTATGCATGTATTGTACCACTGAGTCTTACTCCCAGCCTGAGCTTAACTTTCTTTTTTAATTTTGTAGTTATAGGTGGACACAATGTCTTTATTTTACTTTATGTGGTGCTGAGGACTGAATCCAAGTGTCTCACGCATACTAGGCGAGTRCTCTACCTCTGAGCCACAACCCCAGCCCTAATCATAACTTTTTAACTTTGTTTAGAGCTACAGAGTGCTGGCATGGTGATATAGACCTATAATCAGGGCAAGAGGACTGCAAATTCCAGGCCAGCCTCGGCAACTTCTGTCTTAAAGAAAAAGTGGCCAGGTGTGGTGGCGCATGCCTGAAATCCTAGCAGCTCAGGTAGATAAGGCTGGAGGATCACAAGCTCAAAGCCAGTCTCAGCAATGGTGAGGCGTTAAGCAACTCAGTGAGACCCTGTCTCTAAACAAAATCAAAATAGGGCTGGGGATGTGGCCCAGTGGTCAAGTACCTCTGAGTTCAATCCCCAGTACCCCACCTACCAAAAMAGAAAGTACGAGTAGTAGAAATAGTGTGTGTGTGTACAGATTTATATAAATATAAAAAGGCTAGAGATGTAGCACAGTGTTTGTGCCCGAGTTCTATCCCCAACACTGCAAAGAAAGAACAATCAAAAAAATAAACAATAGTGCTACAAAGACTCAGAAATCCATTAACCCCAGGTCCTTCTATGCTAGGCAACAAAATAGAAAAGGTTCCATTCTATACATGGAGAAATAAGAGATGAAATAAGACTAGAAATAGTGCACAAATAAAATACAGAACAATTTAAGTGATTCTGTGTAAGACCCAATCTCCGCTTACCGGAGTCGCAGGCTGTGGAGGCAATAGTGGTGCTGTTGGTGTGGGAACAGAGGCTGCTGTACTTTGCTGAGAGCGAGGCTGCTGCTGGGGCTGGTCGACTGAAGGAGCAGCAGGAAGTGAAGGTTGCACTTGGGGAGGAAGCTGGGTTGTTGGTGGTGTAGGTGTCTGTCTGGAWGGGGGATGCAGGGCCTGGGGCTGTTGTCCAGGTGGCATGGCAGGAGGTGTAGGAACAGGGGCTGGAATTGCTGTTGCTGGTGGCTGCTGAGCCCCTATGCTTGGGGGAGTGTGGTGAGGTGTYGGGGTACGACTGGGTACAGGAGAGGGTGAATTCTGATGGAGAGCTGGCTGAGGGAGAGGGGGACAGTGAATGTGGCTCCCTTGAGAACCTGGAGGCATTATAGGAGAGTTCACTGGACAGGAAGAACTGGACATTTGTGCCTATTAAATTGAAGGGAAAAAAATATTTATATAGACAGGTTATATATTTACGACATAAAATGATTAAACAGAAAGCAGCAAGGTCTCTATTTTAAAATACCCTATAAAAAAATCCTATTGCTGGCCCCGAGATGATGATGATGGATGAYGACACAACTGATTTAGTACTTAACCAAAGAGACTTCAAACCATCCAGCAGAATGGTTTTATCAATGCAGGGGCACAGGAGACTTGAGTATACAGAGCTCCTGGGACCTTTCTATCCTCTCTTCAGTCACAGTTCCTCCTTCTACATTGCAGTCTCACTAAACTTCCAGGTCTAAAAGTGTTTACTCCTCAAAAAATGTTAAAATCACCAATTTAAAAAAATCATTGAGGGGCTGGAGATGTAGCTCAAACGGTAGCGCGCTCGCCTGGCATGCGTGCGGCCTGGGTTCAATCCTCAGCACCACATACTAACAAAGATGTTGTGTCTGCCGAAAACTAAAAAGAAATAAATATTAAAATTCTCTCTATTTCTCTCTCTCTCCTCTCTTAAAAAAAAAAAAAAAGAATCACTGAATAATCTCTTCATGTTCTGAAATCCAAAACTGTTACTAAACAAATAAACAATTCTGTTTTCTCTCCCTAATTCTCTGCTGCCACCCTTCACTGTAAAAACCTAAATCAAGAGAATAACAAAGTAAAAAATCCATTTGTGAAACATACTTGAGACACTGGTGCTTGACSGCTGGATGGAGCCAAAGGCATATTTGTTACATTCATTCCCTGTGATGGGAACTGAGTTTGGGAGAGGAACTGGCTCTGGCTGGAAGGCTGCTGCATGCGAGGCCCATAGCCCATAGGCTGCAAAAAAATCAGAGCAACAAAATGCTTCAATATAGTTCTACTACACTTGGAACTATCAACTTCTCTGGCTTTGTTTCCAGACTTTGTTTCCAGCAAAGAAAAGCAAAAAGAATAGAATACATGCAGAAGTRAGAGTACCAAGGGAGAAATAAAGTTGTGGAAGAATCAACTCTTATGCCAACGTTTAACAGAAGAGCCTCAGTGTTTACCAAAGCCTACTAAAGAAATAATAAGAAGATTGGTACAAAAGCACATTCTCTTGGTATACAAATATACCTGGAACTCTGACAAAGTATCAAGTCAACTGTGTGCACACTGTTAAAAGTGTAGAGAGTGAATTACACTGAGCATTCTGCTCCTGTTACTGGTATTGTAACAACATCAACAATAAGATTCTAACAGGTAAATCCAAAATATTACAAGTGGTTCTGAATCTGACAGGATTGATGATATGCAAATGCTCTAGTGACTGTTAAATCTCATTTCTAAAATTGCTCTACGTAAACCCAGACTTTTATTGATTTACTTTTTACTTTTTTGCAGTACTAGGAGTTGGACCCAGTAGTGTTCTATACATTGGGACACATCCCAAACCCTTTTTATTTATTGAGAYAGGGTCTCATTATGCTGCTGAGAATGGCCTTAACTGGTGTGCACCAGTAGGTAGGAAATCTAGAGTATCAAGAGGAAAACTTCATAAACAAAGAAAAGCCACTGCCTTATAAATTATAAAAACAGGATGCATGGTTAAATATGACAGATTAATGAGATGTAGTAGTAAATGCTGGAGAACTTCAAAAAGGCCCAAGAAATGGTGGCACCTGGTAAATATAAAAGGCAGGCTGAGATATGGGACAAAGGCAGGAGCTGGCTGGCTGGCTAAGACTTTACAGAAGCAACCGCAAGATGCTAAGTCTCTACTTTCCAGTTTCTAAATCAGACAACTGCCTTTCTATTACCCTTGCAAAAGATCATTCCCTGCTTGGAAAGGGGAAAACAGGTACTAAAGGAAAGAGGTATCTATAGACTGTTTGTTTTTTGTCAGCTATGATATATACACTTTAGCCATATATATATTTTTTTAAGTTACAACCCACTTCTGTGGCCATTATCTAAACTAAAAAATTATTACCTACAAAGTGTTTTAATTTACTGTAGTTTAACCATAATTAATTCCTCAATGTACTTAATACCCCCTCTCTCCCCCTAGTTCAGTATACAAGAACTGGGCATAGTCTAACATGCATGTACTCCTAGCCATGGCAATTACTAAGGAGGCCAAGGCAGAAGGATGGCAAATTTAAGAGCAGCCTTGGCAATTAACTGAGATGCTATCTCACAATCAAAAATTTAAAAGGCTGGGGATATAACTCAATATTAAACTATCCTTGATCCCCAGTACTCACACTGCAAAACTGAGTACATAATGCCACTGCCTTAAGATGAATTTTGTTCAACTTACATCCACTTATTATCTCAGGATTAGAAATTAGGAAAAATTTCTAAAAAGTACTTTCTAGGTAAACAAGATATGCAAAATATAAGGGTATTAACATTTCTTTCCCAGTTGTGGTATACTATTTAGTTCTTGCCATATTAAAACTATTCTTATCCTGAAACACATCATGTTATCATATTTATAAAAAGCCAATTACAACAGATTTGCAGTGTAAGAACAAAAGTCTTGTAGTTTATGATATGAAGTAAAAACGAAGAAAAAAGATTTTTAATATATAAGGTAGAAATCAAACAGATTACCCAAAGAAGTCAAACTAACCGGGTTGAGAGTTCCAGGCTGGGCCAACTGTCCATGGTGCTGAAGAGGAGAGGTTTGCCGGGGTCCAAGAGRGGCCTGGGGCATATTCATCTGACCAAACTGATTTAAACCTGTGAATTCATGTAAAACATAACATCTGAATACCTTGAAGGGAGTGAGATATGAGTTTTTTTTTTTAAATATTTCATTTTTAGTTGTAGTTAGACACAATACCTTTACTTTATTTTTATATGGTGTTGAGGATCGAACCCAGGGCCTCCAACATGCCAGGCAAATACTCTACCGCTGAAGCACAGTCCCAAGATAAGAATTTTTATATCTGATTCTGTGTAATTTTCTCGGGATTAATAACAAAAACTTTCTTTCAACCTCATAACTACAAATGAATATTTCATTCACAACRGCTGAAGAAGTGGATTGTTAACTAACATATGGTTTCTAAATGAAATTTTATAAGCTGCAGTTAATTCCAACWTAGCCAGCTGTTTTGAAATGGAGGTTTTATCATTTACTTGTCATCCCCAATGCCCCTTCCTCTGTGGGCTTCCAACCCCAAAAAGTTTTTTAATTTGACAAACAGGTAATTTTGATACTTGCTACTGGTCTAAAGCAAGAAAAAAATACGGCAAGTATAATTTTATAGTACACCAGAGACTGTTAAAAATGGATTTTTCTTTCATAATTTACCAGGTTGTGGAGTAATCCGAGACATCATCTGGTTTGGCACACTGCCACGGATCATAGCTGGATCAGGTAGAGGACCATCTGGAAAGGAAGAGAAATGGTTAAACAAGTATTTTTGTACCAGCTGCCCTTCACTAAACAAAACAAAAATCTACAATATATTGCTAATAATAGCTTCAAAAATTCAGCCTGAATCTCAAAAAAAAAAAAAAAAACCCCAAAACATTCTGAATTAGAGATGAGCCTGAAGAAAATGTCTTCATGTTATATTGAACTATATCATGTGCCTCCTAAACACAAAAATAAAAATATTTAAAAATGAGATTTATATATGAATTTTACTGTTTTCTTAGATCATCTATATATCCAACAAGGTGTACAGAGAAAAATATTAGTTCTCCACAATCCTGTGACAAAACAAGATGCCTCAGTGACCAGCTCCTTCCTCCTGAGTGCTGCACAGTCAAACCTCAGGCACACAGGTGGGAGACCCTCCTCTAAGGAGATATCACCCATCACTTAAGACAGCTCAAAAYGTGTAGTAAATGAGCATTTTTAACTTTTAAAGAGCCTTCCAAATATCTCTACTGATTTGGTTACTTGTTCTTTCATATGTATTTTCCATAATTATTGTTTAATCTTTTTCCTTTTTTTAGTATTTATTTTTTAGTTGTAGTTGGGACACAATACTCTCATTTTATTTATTCATTTTTATGTGGTGCTGAGGATCAAACCCAGGGCCTCACACGTGCTAGATGAGCGCTCTGCCACTCCTCAGCCCTTCTCTCTCCCTCTTATCATAGTAAGGTGATTAGCACCCTTAATATTGAAAATACTTTCCTCAGTTTGTTCAGTCCAGTATTGCTTATGATACCTTCTATTATTATTTTTTTTTCTTTAAAAACTTTCAGTTTGGGGCTAGAGTTGTGGCTCAGTGGTGGAGCGCTTGCCTACCATGTGTGAGGCGCTGGGTTTGATCCTCAGCACCACATATAAATAGATAAATAAAACTTAAAAAAAAAATTTAGGTAGTGCCTAGTTAGAGAGAAATTTCTTAATTTCCTTTTACATTTCCTTGAATAGTCTATTTCAATTTCAAACATTTCTCTTAAAGCTCAAAATCATTAAGTTTGTCTATGACTAATTTCTATAAATAGGAATAAGGCAAGGATCTAATTTTATAAAATGTCAAATTTAATGAGCTAACAGCAAACTTACCATATTATTTTACTGATACTACTTGAGCAAATTCTACCCAACCCTAGTATTACAAACGTGTACTTCTCTATTTCCCAAATAATTATATTAGTTCAGGATCAAACCCAGATTATTTCATTTTCTCTTATTTTCGGAATCATTATTTTTTCGTTGAGATCATTTCTCAAATCTAATCCTTGTTTTCTCATTCCAAAACATTTTTTCCTTATACCTACTCAAAAAGTATGCTCCTCTTCCCTTGCCACTGGGGCTCCATATACACTATTCCTTCTGCCAGAAATGTTGCTCTTTCTAATTCTTTATATATCTTTGTTCAGTTAGAAGAGTGTATGTATTTAGCTAGATGTGGTTACATTACAGATGCCTAAAGTCCTAGTTACTCAGGAGGCCAAAGTAGAAAGACAGCAAGTTCTACACTAGTAGCTTGGGTGACTTAATGAGACTATGCCCCAAAACAAACAAAGAGATTGTGTCCAAAAATAAATAACCACATAAATAAGTAAATCGGTGCATCTGGCACACTGTAGTTCTCAAATATGGCTGTTAAAGGCCAAGGATTAAGGAAGATGAATTCCTCAGTTCCAATGGTCAACAGATGGTGTAAGAATTGCTATTTGGAGTTTCAGTTCATACTTCCTATAGGTAGTCAGTATTCCTTAACTCAAGAGGAACAAATACCCACTATCATAGCCTTTCTTACATCATTTCAACAGCCTCTGTTCTTATGTCTGTGTCTCAACACCATATTACACTGCTTAGAACCTAATAGGTCAATGAATGAATGAAGTAATGTTTAGGAGAATGGTGTTACAACCAGAAACGACCAGACGCGATTTTAAATGATAYTATGCTTCTAAAAATTTGTTTTAATACACAAAATATGTTGTGTTAAAGAGGAAGCATGACATTGCAACATGTTCTTGAATACTTTCAGGAAGTATTTAAGCCTTTATGGGGTCCCTGAACCTAGCCGGCCTACCTCTACTAGTTGCCTGTCACAGGCAAGCCATTATTTTCTATATTCCACTATTAGAGAAGACTATTTTAGGCTCAAAAAAAAAAAAAAATGTCAGATTACCAAGTTAAGCATAGTGCCCCAAATCATAATATACTCTTCAGCTGACATTTTTTAAAATATTTTTTTTAGGGCTGGGGATATACGTCAGTTGGCAGAGTGCCTGCCTGGCATGCACAAGGCCCTGGGTTCAATCCCCAACACCACAAAAAATTTTTTTTAGTTATAGATGGACACAATACCTTTATTTATCTTCATGTGGTGTTGAGGATCAAACCCAGTGCCTCACACATGCTAGGCAAGCACTCTACTGCTGAGTCACAACCCCAGCCCCATGAACTGTCACTAAACACACACACACACACACACATATGTGTGTGTGTGTATATAAGCTGTTGATGGACCTTTATTTTATTTATATGTGGTGCTGAGAATTGATCCCATTGTCTCACACTTGCTAGGCAAGCTCTCTAGCCCTCAATAGCTGATTTTACTAATGGATGAACTATATTCATTTCATTGGCAAAAGGCCATCTGAAAACCCTAGAACTACACAGCTTATACAAATTAATGGCTTTGTTTGGAAACCATTTTATAAATCGGGTGAGGTGGCACAGGCCTTTAGTCCCAGCTAGTTGGGAGACTCAGGCAGGAAGATCACAAGTTTTGAGTTCAGCATGGGTAATTTATTAAGACCTTGTCTCCAAATAAAATAGAAGGGCAAAGGATGTAGTACAGTGGTAGCATGCACACAGACCTGGGTTCGAGTCCTAGTACTGAAAAGACACACAAACATAATCAACTTCATCCCAAAATAAGTAAAAGCCACTTACTAGAAGTCATTCCTTGTTGTGGCTGTCCCATGTTAGGCCCTGGATTCATGGAAACTGGTACCATGCCTGCAGCATTTGGTAGCATATTCTGTTTCTGCAGTCTAGTCCTTCGTTTTTCTTCTAGTTCCTTCTGAATCTTATATATCTTCTCAGCTAGAAGGTGGTAGTATTCAGCCTTTTTGAAGTAAAAGAAGAGAGTTGAGGGTAAAAGAACTATTATTGGTTAACTGAAAAAATTAACAAAGAACAAATATAAGCTTCATTTAAAAAGTAGACAGAAACTAAATGGAAAAAATCGAATCTACCTTCTTTGGTCATTTCAACAATAAGTTCATGTTTGGAATGATCATGTGGCCAATAGTTTTGTTATGAATTCATACAATAAACCAAATCTCTAAAAGCAGGATTCCAAAATATACACTGGTAACTTGGAAAGAATATCCTACATTTTAAGTTAGTGTCAACTTGGAAAGAAAGTTTAATTAGAGAAACTACATTGTTACTTGAGACGACAATTTCAAGCAGCTTATATACCACGATCTAGAGAAAATAGCACAAAGCTCAGTCACTTTTTAAGTCGACAGAAACACAATCTAAATGAATAAAGCAGCAAGTCAGTGCACTGTATTTAGTGGAAATAATATAAGAATCTTGGGCTGGGTTGTGGCTTAGCGGTAGAGCATGCGCCTAAGCATGTGCAAGGCCCTGGGTTYGATCCTCAGCACTATATAAAAATAAATAAAATAAAGATATATATAAATAAATATTTTGGTGATATACACTCAAGAAATTGCTTTATATTGACTGTACTGAGATAAAAAGATGAGGTAACTAAAGGGATTACTCTTGGAAGCATAGTATCACTTGGTATGTTACAGAAGACTAAACAACCAGAACAGGCCCATTTCTGATTCTCAACAGAAAAGAAAAATCAGATGCTCACGCGATTATTTGCAGATTCATACATGTCGCCTTCTACTTTCCGAGCATACGCGACTAGATTTTCCATCCGCCTGTCTTTTAAAGCAGCAGGATCCGGAGTAGGAAATATGGCTTGAACACTGGGAACAGAAAATCCTTTTATTGTAATACCATGTCAACTTTTCATTCATGTCATACAATACTCTATACTTTCCCCAATTTGTACAATGAACATACAGTTAAGGGGAAAAAAGATATATTCACGTATACAGCAATACTTACCAAAATGAAATTCTTTTTTGTGTGAAGACAAAATGTCCTCATTACAATATAAGAAATGACTCCATAAAAATTCTCCAGTCCCTATTACTCTATATGAAGAACTCAAGAAGTTATAAGGCACTAAATAAACAAACAAAAAATCCTGACCTTTGTCATGATAGTTCAAATGTACAGTATACTAGAAGAAAACAGATCAAGATGATGGAAGTGAAAATTTAGAAGACACAACTTGAGTTGCTAGAAAAATTTGAAAGCACAAAAAACTTTTTAATTACAAAATAATAGTTTGGTTATTCCTTATTAATTCATTAAAACCACAGCATTCTTGGCTTGGTAGAGCACTTGCCTAGCATGTGTAAGGCTCTGGGTTCAAATCTCAGCACCACAGATAAATAAATTCTATTGACAACTTAAAAAAAAATTTAAGCCAACCTAAGGTAAGCCTGATGATTCCAATCAAGTCAATTTGAAAATGTGGCTAGTAGTACATGCCACTTATTTGGAAGGCAAAGAGAAGCAGGAGATTCTCAAGTTCAAGGCCAGCTCAGACAACTCAGTGAGATACTGTCTCAAAAATAAAATAATGATAAGTAAAAAGAAATGGGGCTAGAGATGTAGCTCATTGGTAGAGTGCTTGCCTTGCTGGAGTGAAGCCCGGATTCAATCCCTAGAGGACTACAAAAAATAAAATTTATGGGCTGGGGTTGTAGCTTAGTAGTAGAGCTCTTGCTTCACACATGTGAGGCCCCTCAACACTAAATAAAAAAATAAACGAATAAAAATAAAGATATTGTGTCCATCTACAACTATAAAAGTATTTAAACAAATAAAATAAAACTTAGATAAAAATGCTGAGTACAGTGTTGTAAGTCTATAATCCAATAACTCAGGAGACTGAGGCAGGAAGATCACAAGCTAGAGACCAGCTTAAGCAACTTAAAGAAATAAAGACTAGGGGTATAGCTCAGTGGTGTTGCACTGCTGGGTTCAATTCTCTAAAAACATCCCCTCCCTACAAAAAAAAAAAAAAAAAAAAAAAGACAGGCAGGGGAATAAAACAAAGGAGATCCTGCTATTGAGTGGAGGTGAAACGGAAAGACTTACTTTCTCCAAGAAAAAATGCTTCATGCTTTTTCATGGGTAAAGTCTAATCCATAAAATCTAAGCTCTGCCTTTTTGATCTTGGGCACATTATATTTTACCTTATATTTACATCTGACAAAAACTGTTTCAAGATGGAGTTTGTGAAGAGGAGCTCCTGGCATACATCAAATTCATATAATGTAGAAAGTATTTCATAAGCTGTTATGAGGACATTTGAAAGATCACAAGAGGGGCTAGGGATGTGGTTCAAGCGCTAGCTAGCTCGCCTGGCAGGCGTGCGGCCCAGGTTCAATCCTCAGCACCACAAACAAAGAAAGATGTTGTGTTTGCCAAAAACTAAAAAATAAATATTAACATTCTCTCTCTTTAAAAAAAAGAAAAAGATCACAAGACCAGAGAGACCACCTAACTAGATTCAACTTGTCAACATAATAAAAATCATACCAGGATTAACAGAAAAGGATCTTACCCTCTACATAGTTTAAAAACCTGAGAATTAAGTTTTCATATGAAATATAAATCATGCAAGGCGATGGCACTAAAATAAACAATAGTTAATCAGTTCATTCATTGTTGACACTAAGAGAATAGTTCACATAATGTTAAAGCTGAAAATCTACAAATGGGAGGAGAAAAAAAATTGAGAAGCAAGAATGACACAAGAACAGAATTCAACATCAACAGTTTGGTTATCAGTAATATTTCTTTGGTGGTTAAAATCCTAGCAGGTTGGAAGAATGCTCACACGATAGCTCTTATAAATAAGACATGCCCACAATCTTACTTACAGTTTATGAACAAGATGATTTCGAAGATCCTGAGTAATATCTTCATGCCACTGTTTCCGAATTCCAGTACTGGATGGTTGAGCAGCGGTTGGCATAGGACCCAGGGAGGCCACACTGGCATTCTCATTCATCATTGGGCTTCAAAGTAGCCATAAAAATAGTTTTAGTGACAGGCAGGAGAGAGAAGACCTCACTTAATCAGTGCTGGGAGTGATTACTGCCATAGGTTCAATAACCAATGGCAAATCTATTTGCATAAAGGGGGTAATAATACCCTATGGCAAGTATATGTGCATAAGAGAAAATACGCATGTGACTGCATCTGTGTGGGTTATGTCACTACACTGGTGTGAGGGAAAAAAATTATGCTTCCTACTATAAGAGAAGAATGAAGAATTGTGTTTGGGAAAAACTAGATCATGACAAAAGACAAAGCTGTTACTTGGACATAACATCTCAGGGAACCCCCTTGGATAATGGGACTCCTAACAATGGACTATATCAAACTCTATTTTTATGCTGATGTGATCCTTAAACTTCCTACTGATACAATTTAAAATAAGAGTAGAAAGTACAACATGTTTCTCTTATTTCATAAAGAAAATATCAAGAAAGCTAAAATCTTCAAGAAATTCTTAAGTATTGGAAATGTGATTCAGGGTCAAAATAAAACTTACTTCTGAGAAGTTATGGCTGAATGCAACATTGAGTCAGAAAGAAGATTCGGCGTCTGAACCCCTACACCTCCATTTACTCCCATAGGACTAGCATCTAAGTCAAAACAAAGTAAATAGGAAGAGAGAAATAAATAAAATAGCCACCATACAATAAACACCATAAGCTGAGTCAAATGACAAATTAGAAAAAAACTGTAGCGCATGCAATAAATAATTATTAGCAATATAATTAGTAACACATAAAAACTAATACATAAAAGTACCCTTACAAAACCATTAAGAAATAGATAATTCAACAGGAAAGTAATGGGCAATTCCCAGAAAAAGAAATACAATAGTTTTTAAAAGAATGCAAATGCGCTGAACTGCACTTATAGATGAAGAATTTGAAACAATATATTTTTGTTATGTGAAAAGTCAAGACTTTTAAAAGTTGATAGCCTAAACTATATTTTGAGTTGGGCGCAGCAGTACAAGTCTGTAATCCCAAGGCTCAGGAGGCTGAGACAGTACAATCTCAAATTCAAGACGAGYCTCAGTAACTTAATGAGACCCTGTCTCAAAATGAAAAACAAAAAGGGCTGGGGAAGGGGGCTGGGTTTGTAGCTTAGCGGTAGAGCGCTCACCTAGCACACACGAGGCCCTGGGTTCAATCCTCGGCACCAAAAAATAAACTAATACAGATATTGTGTTCAACTACAACTAATAATAATAAATATTTTTTTTTCAAAAAAAGGGCTAGGGACATAACTCAGTAGTAAAGTAACCCTGGCTTAAATCCCCAATAACCAAAATAAATAAATAAATAAATAAATGAAATCATATTCAAAAATAGAAATGTGAGGAAAGAAACATTTTCAAATGTTTCAAAACTCTAGGGACAGGTATGTCCAGGCATTAAACATATAAACACACATGCACATCTTCTTTCACTTAGAATTTCTACTTCTAATCATTTGTCTTATACTTATATCTACGTAGACCCAGACTCCATAGTAATATAGATTCAGTAATATTAAAAGAAGGAAAAAATTTAAAACTACAAACAAAATCACTCATGGAACTGAACTATACATATATATGTTTTCATAAGCACAGAAAATTTATTTAAGGACACAGGAGTATGTTGATTGTGATGAGAAGTGGGATGAGAAGTACTGTTATGGTTAAAGAAAAACATATTTAACTGAATATTCCTTCAAAATGGTTTGAAAAAGCTCTATGTGTATCTACTTCTTCTTCAACAAACAATTATAATGAATATTCTATTTATTTAAAGTAGCCAATGGCAATATTCACACTAAACCAGATTTTCATGTTAAAACTTTTTTTTTGATAAGTTCTATTAATATACTCCCTCAAGTTATTTTAAAGACAACAAAAATCCCACTGAAATGCAAATAAATTGGCTAGATCTATAAATAATATTTAATGAAGACAAGTACTGTGGACTTCTTTCATTCTTGTCCCTAAATACCTTCCTTCTGATGTCAACAGGCTGGCTCTCTGAAAAGTAGTTGCTGGAATGGTCTTTCTGAAATAGAACTGTGTTGTCCATAATTCTCTATTTGTCACCATAGACACTTCATATGTAGATAATACCTTTGTAGAAAAATTGTATGTGTAACAGATGTTTTACTGATGGCAAAACAATAGTACAATGAAGGAAAAAACAAAACTGTGGTTACACAATATATAATCTTGCTCATTTTACTGCTTTCTGATGCCTCAGGAAATAGAAAAACATTCTTTCAAATTCTCCAGATTCATTTAACAGTGGTTCCCACTAATGGCTAAATCATAGTTTGAAAAGAAAATTCATGGCACCTGAAAACCAGCAAGAGAATATACTTGTGTTTTCTAAAGGGATTTCATCCCAATAAAATTTTCAGACTAACTAAATGCACTAGTAACCAGAAGATATGASAACATGGTCCAGCATGATCACTTAAGGCTCCAACACAGAAAAGATAATTTTGTAATTGAATTATACATTTAAAAATTCTAGGCTTCAAAAAAATTCTCTCCCCCTCCGTTATAGAATCTCTACAATCCAACCTGATTTATGTAAGAAAAACAGCACAGCACCATCTACTTAATCATTTGCCTATCTACCCAGACTAGGGTTTAACATGGAGACCAAGCCCACATAGGATGTCTACTCCACACTCCAGCACAGAATGTCTGAATGCTGCATATCATTTGTTCTACAACCTTGTCCATCACAGTTACCTACAATTCACAGCCCGATATAATCCGGTACTACAGCCAGTTGTGTCACAGTGAGAGACATGTCTGCTACCCAAGTTGGAATTGTGAACATATCTTCCACATGGCTTCATTATGCTTGCTTAGGCTTTTTATCCTCACTAGTACTACATATTTCAGGTAAAGATTCTGTGATATACATCCATAATAAATAAAATATTTTGAAAGATCTCAAGTATTGGAAACACAAGCTGGGGTTGTGGCTCAGCGGTAGAGCGCTCACCTCGAATGTTAAGACCCTGGGTTCGATCCTCAGCACCACATAAAAATAAATAAATAAAATAAAGGTATTATGTCCAAGTGCAACTAAAAAAGAATAAATGTTGGAAAAAAAAAAAAAGAAACACAAGCCTTTGGAAAAAGAATACAAAACCAAACGGAAAATAAGTTTCTCATAATAACAGTTTCAGAATTTTCAAAAAATACCCGAAAGATAATAAGAAAATTTGAAGGGCAACAAGAAAACAGGGATACTATAAAGAATAGGTATTAATCTGGGCATGTGATGCACACCTGTAATCCCAGTGACTAGGGAAGCTGAGGAAAGAGGATCACAAGTTCAAGACCAGTCCTAGCTGGTAACTTAGCAAGACTCTGTCTTAAAAAAACAAAAAGGGCTGGGGATGAGGTTCAGTGATAAAACACCTTTGAGTTTAATCCTCAATACCCCAGTCCCCGACAAAAAAGCACTAAGGGYAAATATAAATACTAAGATAATATTTAGACTGATATTTTAAAAATGTTCACACATATACCACTGCTAAGAAATATTAGTCTGAAAAGTTTAAAAGGGAAATAAACAGACAAATCCATACAGTGAGACAATTTAATTATATGMCTTTTAGATTAAAAGAAAAAACACATGACAAAAAATGTACACTCAGTTTGGGGTAAAGTGGGGAAATTTCAATKAATATTGTATATATTAGATGACATTATTGAATAACTTAAATTTTTCAGGGTTGATAATGATAGTTTAAAAATAGTGTCCTTATTATTAGGATATATGTTGTAATATAATTAATCATAAAAAATTGGGATCCCCCCCCCCMAAAAAAGGTAGGATGCCTCAAATCCATGCAGAAAAAAACAGATACGGCAAAAATGTGGAAAAGTAGTGACTCTGGATAAAGGATATGTACACACATCTTTATCTAACTCTAGGTAGGTTGAAAAACTCCAAATCAAAATTCAAGGGAAAATTTTTATTCATATACTGGAAATGGGGAACAAAGAATTCACCAAAATACTACCTTTATCCCAAATATGTATTGATGACCAAAGGAAGAACTTATTACTGGGGTGGACATGCAGACATTTTTTATGGCCCCAATCTCATGACAGAGAATTTTCCTAAAGTTCTAATTACATATCTATTCCATCTTCTTCACTTAGTTCCTAAGAATGGTTAGGGTTAAAATGATGTGGGTGAGGAAGTGTTACCATTTTAAGTCTATTCAGGAAAGCGGCATAACATTTTTGTTTGCTGAAAAATTGGAAATTAACTAGAGCGACTGCGGGGTGGTAGCTTAGTGGTATAGCACTTGCTTTAACATGTGATGGGTCCTGGGTTCAATTTCTAGCACTGCACAAAAAGAAGTATTAGGGGCTGGGCTGTGGCTCAGTAAGCATGTGTGAAGCACTGGGTCCAACTCTCAGCACAATATATATATAAATAAAGGCCCATCAACATCTTAAAAAAATTAAATAAAAATAAAAGGAAGTAAGGGAAAAGAACTTTTTTCTGTACTGAACATGTTCGGACTTTTATTCTTGTTTCTAGTTCCTAAATGACCTAGTAATAAGACATTGTTTAGAGATTATATACAAATTCGAAGCCATTTTGTATATGGGACTTGAGCATCCTATGATTCCAATATCTGTGGGGAATCCTGGAACCAGACCCTGTGAATACTAAGGAATGACCATACTTCTTATTAGTAAACACAAGAGGATGAAGAGGCAATGCCTTGAAGGTCAACTTAAATAATAAAAATACAGCTGGGCACAGGGAGGAAACACATGTAATCCCAGTGAAATGGGAGACTGAGGCAGGAGAATCACCACATTAGGCCAGCCTCAAGCAACTTAGTGAGATCCTGTCTCAAAATGAAAAATGTAAGAGCTGGTTATGTAGCTCAGTAAAAAGTCCCCAGATTCAATCCCCAATATCAAAAAATAAAATAAAATAAAATAAAATCAGGAATAGAACATCCCAGTGGGCAAAAGTTAAAAAACAAAAAACAAACAAACAAAAAAAAAAAACACAAAAAAAGGAAAAAAGGGAACAGGATACAGTGGAAAAGCATTTGCCTGGCTCACTGGGTTCTCTCCCCAGCACTAGAAAGAGAAAAAACAAAAACAAAAAAACAAAAACAAAAGTGTCAATCTAACTTTTTAAACAAAATAATTTAGATGTTTAACAGCCTGACAACAAAAGGACAGTCACAGGGCAAAGCTCTTTTATTACATATACACAGAGCAAGAAAAAACACCAAATTAGGATATCATCAGAACACCGACAAACCAGTTTATTCAAAAATCTATTTCCAGAGGCACAGCACACTATTCCTGCTGCCAGTTACATGGAAATCTACAGCAACAATAACCACGACCATTAGCATATATTTCAAACTAAAACAATACTTTAAGCCAAATACAATTTCTGTTGTTGTTGGGTTTTTTTGTTTTTGTTTTTTTTTTTTTTTTTGGGGGGGGGGGACTGGACACTGAACACAGGGGCATTCAACCACTAAGCCACATCCCTAGCACTATTTTGTATTTTATTTAGAGACAGGGTCTCACTGAGTTTCTTAGCACCTTGCCATTATTGAGGCTGGCTCTGAATTCGAAATCCTCCTGTATCAGCCTCCCAAGATGCTGGGATTATAGGTGTGAGCCACTGGCACCTGTCTCTACTGAGTTTTAAAACGGCAAAATAATTGGAAACCTCAAAGTCCATTTGTAATAGACCATTATAAAGATGAAATATTACATTAAAAAAGATACTAGATACTGATTATGAAAGATATCCACACAGTAAAGGAAGATACAGAATAACACAGGGATCTCATTAAACTTTCATTTCTAGAAATTTAAACTCCCCCCTGCCCCACAAAAAAGCGAAAAAAAATGATGTAATCCAGAAGTGTTACCTCTGGTATATGGATCATAAATGCTCTTTTAGGCTATGATTTTTTTWAAAAAAATYATATCCATAATTAGGGGGAAAACTGAGAAAAAGAATAAGGAGTTAATCCTGCAATTAGAGATGTCATTTATATACCCAACCAATATCGTCTCTGCTACTAGGAAGACACAAACTTACTCATGTTGCTCATGGGCCGCATGCCTTGGGGAGACTGACCAGACGGCTGATTTTGCTGGTTCTTCGCCTGTACCTGGGGTTGTGGTGGCATCTGATTTACTTGATAGGGTAGTCCAAGAGCTGCATAGGCTCTTTCTATAGAGCTGGGATCAATCTGACTAACAGTGCTTAGGCTAGGGGTAGACTGTTGACCCACCCCTAGAGAGCTAGGGTTTCCAAGTCCAACTGGTGCTCCAGTCAAAATTGCTATAGAAGATGAAAGACATGGCATTACAATATTAAAGATGGTGGGAAGAAAAAGAAAGACTAACATGTTTAAATTTCAAAAACCACAAAATTATTATTAATGGTGATCATATAATATCTCAGTATACATATCTTGACTCCCATTATCTCTGTGAAAAAACTTCTAGATGCAAAACTGATTGGGATTGAAGGGGATCATAGGTATGAAAGGTTTTTGGTCCACAATACCAAACAGGCTGTATCAGATTTCCCACCAACAGTATATGAATGCCCCAGAACCACACAAATACCAACACTGGGTAGCATCTTATCTGTCAATGAGATTTTTAAAAATGCTATTTCATTACTTAACAGTGAACTTTGTGTGTTTCTTCCCTCTGGTAAATTATCTCCTATTCCCAATTTTCTTCTGGGGAAATTATGATTTGTTTATGGAACTTACTTCCATTTTCATATGCTTTCCATTTTTCAMTGCTTAAAGTTATGGTTGACAGAGATGTGGTAGATGTACTTTTAAAATATATTTTTATTTATGACTTGTCTTTGCTGTAAGAAAAACTTTTTCATCAAAAGATTAAAAAATAATCAGTTTTTTATTTCTGTTAAGATAATTTCTGGGGCTGGGGATGTGGCTCAAGCGGTAGCGCGCCCGTCTGGCATGCGTGCGACCCGGGTTCGATCCTCAGCACCACATACCAACGAAGATGTTGTGTCCGCCGAGAACTAAAAAATAAATAAAATTCTCTCTCTCTTTCCTCTCTCACTCTCTCTTTAAAAAAAAAAAAAAAAAAGATAATTTCTGGGGCTGAGGTTGTGGCTCAGCGGTAGAGTGCTCCCCTAGCACGTGCAAGGCTCTGAGTTCGATCCTCAGCACCACATATAAATAAATAACATAAAGGTATTGTGTCCAACTACAACTAAAACATAAATATTAAAAAAAATTTCAAGTTATTTAGACTTCAGGTATAGTAGAGTAACTTGCTCAATGTCAAAGCAATTATATTGAAATTTCCATGCATTTAAAATGGAGCCCAAATCCACCTATGGCTGTTTTAATAAAAGAATGGATAGTTACAGTTCTTGGATCTTATTTTAGCTATTTAAACAATGTGATTCTAGGAATTAATGTGGATAACTGGAAGGAGAAAAAGCGAAAGGAAAAAAAACATTTTTCAACATAGTATGATAGCACTAGGCAGTTATAGCACCTCTACCTCAGTCCAAGAATTACAGGAACCTCACATAATCAAGAAGGACTCTGGGCTGGGAGTGTAGCTCAGTGGTAGAGAACTTGCTTAGTGTGTGTGAGGCTCTGGGTTTGAATCCCAGCACCGCAAAAAGAGAAAAGAAAAAAAAGGAAAGAAGAAAGAAAAAACARTACTCTAGATTCTATCAAATAGCATAGTGAGAGGCTCTGAGTAGTTGTGGTATAAACCATAAAAGACTTCATCACTTACACTGTTGATTTCTTTTATCTCCAGCATTTTTGAGAGGGAGACACACAGGACAATCGTGCCTTGTACAATTCTTCCAGTGTGAAATGATTTGTCTAGAAGATGCGCAGTGTGCCACTAAAATGGAGAAAAAACTTTATTTTAAGAGTAGGATTTTCTTTTTACATAAACCATAGCTAACTTATCAATCACTAAGTGCTACAAATGTATAAACACATTTACCTTCATAACTGTGCTACTATATAGGTCCTATTGCTACTTAGATTTTAGAAGCTCCTATTAATACTCAGATTTAAATATGAAAACAGGCCCCTCACCAAAAAAAAAAAAAAAAAAAAAAAAAAAAAAAAGTTAAGCAATTTTGCACATGGTCACAGTAGCCAAAGCTGGATTTAAACCCAAACCTCTGGTTTCAGAGCCCCCATTTTCCACCACTATGCAATATGACATACTTAAAGATATTCTTTCTAAGCCAATATGCTAACACATACCTATAAACAAGTTTTTACTTACTTCATACACAAACTCCTACTAAATTGGAAGAAACTGGGTGAAACAATTAAGTTAAATATTTGGGTACATGGCTGTTAGCATATCTTCAATGATAAGAAAAGGATGATACAATGGGGCAAATCAAAGCCAGTGAGGACCATCTCAAAATGAAAGACCTTTGAATTTTACTCTCATACCATCTCTAGATATTGGTTCATTAAATAAACTCAATTTTTATCATTTCCCAATGGTACAGTAGGGATTACGAGTAGAGGAGTCTCAAAATGATCTTTATTGATAGCAACATTATTTATAATTGCTAAACACTAGACAGCCAAGAGGTCTTTTACCAGCTGGATTGACTGTGGTATACTCAGATAATGGAATATTTCTTAAAGCTTTATTGAGGTATAAAAAAACATGCACAGCCAGGCACAGTGGCACACGCCTATAATCCCATTGGCTTGAGAAGCTGAGGCAGGAGGATTGCAAATTCAAACCCAGACTCAGCAACAGCAAGGCGCTAATCAACAAAGCGAGACCCTGTGTCTATATGAATATGAAAAAGGGCTAGGGATGTGGCTCAGTGGTTCAGTGCCCCCGAGTTCAATCCCTGGTACTCCCAACCCCCCAAAAAACTGCACAAATTTTTTGTATGAGTTCGGACCTATGTGTATACACCCATAATACCATCAGAATAATCAAAGTTCTAAACAAAACCATCACCTTCCAATGTGGGTCCACTCACCTTGACAGGACTTGCCTGACTGGCAGTGTGTCATATGGTTCAGGACATTCTTCATAGTTCGACAGTGGGGAAGGTTGCATTGCCTTACTTCCCCGTTAGCCTGTTCCCGGCGCTGGCACTTGTGAGCATGCAAAAGGAGAACAAGTTGCTGCTGGATGAGCTTTCGCTTCTCTGGGTCAGCTGTATGTGCTCCAGAACCCATCCCCTGGGCAACAGGTGTCACCAAGCCTGACTGTTGGACCTGTGGGGCAGGTTGTTGGCCCTATGGGGATATAACAATAAAGATACATTTAACAGGATATGTCTCAGTWTGCTATCTTATTAAATAGGGATCTGGATATTTTCTATTAAAACCTCTATGGTTGGTCTACTATATGCAAATTATTATTATTTTTTGATGGAGAGATCCAAATATATACATAAATGATGGTCCCAACCATCAAGAAGCTCAAGTGGGATGGGGTTGTGGCTCAGTGGTAGAGAGCTTACATAGCATGTGTGATACAGTGGTTAGATTCTCATATAAATAAGTAAAACAAAGTCCACTGACAACTAAAATATTAAAGAGAGAAAAAAAAAGCTCAATATAGTAAGAAGAAAAAAAGATGGTATTACCAAGTGCTATAATTAATATATGATATGCAGAGAACTAAATCAAAGTGAAGAACATACATTGAGAGAGGAATAAGACTCCCTTAGATTTTAAAGAATGAGGTACTTGCCAGCTGTGGCTGAGGCAGGAGGATTACAAATCCAAGCTCAGCCTTGGCAACTCAATGAGACCCTGTCTCAAAAAATGTTAAAGATTTAACTCATTGGTAGAACAAACCTGGGCTCTCAATTCCCCACTACGATAAAAGAATAAGGAACTTCTTGGTTGATTCAGTAGAGGTCAAGGGAGTAAAAAAATAAAATTATAAACTCTGGAAGAAATTTAATTTCTCCAATTAAAAAGAAGTGGTAATGGGCTGGGGATGTGGCTCAAGCGGCAGCGCGCTCGCCTGACACGCGTGCGGCCCGGGTTCAATCCTCAGAACCACATACAAACAAAGATGTTGTGTCCGCCGAAAAGCTAAAAAAAATTAAATATTTAAAAAATTCTCTCTCTTAAAAAAAAAGCGTAAGTCTTTCTAAGGGACAAGGATGCGATTTTTTTTTTTTAAATCTTTATTTTTCTAGTACTTAGAAGACTAAAATACAGTCAATGACCATAACAAAACCTAAAAACATCTCAAAGAGAAATAAAGTTACCATAGGACCCTACGCTTAAAAACAAACAAATAGGGCCGGGTTGTGGCTCAGGGGTAGAGTGCTCCCCTAGCATGTATGAGGCCCTGGGTTCAATTCTCAGCACCACAGAGGTGTAATCCCAACAGTTTGGAAGCCGAGACAGGAGGACTTCGAGTTCAAAGCCACCTTCAGCAATGAGAGGCGCTAAGCAACCCAGTGAGACCCTGTCTCTAGGGCTAAGAATGTGGCTTAGAGTGCACCTGAGTTCAATCCCTGGTACCCACACACATGAAAAACTGCTTAAAATACTCTATAAGGGGCTGGGGTATAGCACAGTAGTAGAGAACTTGCCTGGCATGTCCAAAGCCCTGGGTTCAAGTCTCAGTATTGCAAAACAAAAACACTATGTAAGGGAAGGTGTGGTGCCACACCCCTGCGATTCCAGCTACTCAAGGAGACTTGAGGCAGACTGAGGCAGGAGGATCATAATTTGCCAGCCTGGTGGGCAACTAAGAAGACTGTTTCAAAATGAAATTAAAATAGCTGGGGATGTAGCTCTTGGTAGAGCACTTGCCTACCATGCTTAAGGCCCTGGGTTYAAGCCCCGTCCTGCAACAAACAAACAAATTCCACTACACACTGGAATAGGGGATATGGTTCAGTGGTAGAGAGATCCCCAGCACTGTAAAACAAAAATAACTTTTGAGAGAGAAGTTACTTTGGTATGATAGTAGCAAAAAAAAAAAAAAAAAAAAGAACTAGTAGATGCAGTCAGTGAGAACTGAGATCTTTTGCCAGAGAATCCTTCCCCTAAGAGCAGAGAGGTTTCACTTTCCTATTCCTCAGAAATGCTTACCAGCCAAATTTGCTAAAGGGCTAGTTCCCTGAAACTGCAGTAGCTTACTTGCTCCTGTTTGGATTAACACTCTCATTGGTTAAGAGAACGCACAAACCTCCTCTTCCCTCAGAGGGTTCACTCATTACATACCTAGGGTAATTCAGGCTCATAATGTGCAAATTTAGCACATACAGAAGGTATCAAAACTTTACACTTTTATTTGTTGTTAAAATGCCWGTTTAAACATACATTGGTAACTGATAAGTACTTACCATGTTGGGCATTCCACTACCAGGAACTGCCTTTTTGTCCATTGCAAATGGAGATAAGCTATTTGGTAGTACAGTCTTTGTCTGAATCTGGAGCCCAAGTCCACTGGCTCCAATCTGCTGTCCAGAATTCTGAGGATATGGTGAACCATAAGGATTGGGGTTGTTCATCATTCCTATCTAATAGTAAGAAACGGAAGAAAAATTAATTTCCTTTCCCATGTTACTAGGACATTACTATGCCATTTCCCTTTTGATTTTCTATATACTATATACAAAATAATTTTTTAAAAAATCCTCTATTCATATTAGAAAACTAGCCAGATGTGATGGCATATGCCTGTAATCCCAGCAATTTGAGAGTCTGAGGTAGGAAGATTGAAAGTTTAAGGTCAACCTTGGCCACTTAGTGAGACCCTGTCTCAAAAATAAGACCTTGCTGGACTTGGTGGCACACGCCTGTAACCCCAATGGCTTGGGAGGCTGAGGCAGGAGGACTACGAGTTCAAAGCCAGATTCAGCAATTTAGCAAGGGCATAAGCCTGGKGATGTGGCTCAGTGGTCAAGTGTCCCTGGGTTCAATCCCCAGTACCAAAGAAACAAAGAAAAAAGAAAAGTTCCAGAGGTATAACTCAGTGGCAAAACACCTCTGGGGTTCAACTCCTAGTATCACATAAAACATATTTTAAAAAGCATGCCTTTGAAAGTACATTCTTAAGATCAAGAACAAGGGGCCTGAAGTACAGTAAATTTACAGCTCTTTTCTGTAAATACTTGAGATAAAGGTATTTTAGAAACACTTTTGAAATTATCTATTAAAAAAGGTTTGCCATTCATTCCCATTAAGTTGCATATGATGTACTTACATTTAATGTACAAACCATGGCCAATTCAACTCAACTTCCTATGTCATCTAATCCCTAAATATAACATTGTAGAGTTTGACAAATCAAAGTATTTTTGTACTCCAGTATTTTATTGAGAGAGAGAAAACTGGTGATTTGTGAGATATATATATATATATATATATATTTTATTTTTATTTTTTTAAACGTAGGGACATTGATAACAATGCTTTCTAAACCTTTTAATTCTGAATCCTTGGAAAGAGCATGCAAATATCTTAACTCTACACCAATCCTTGCTGCCCTATAAACCAAGCTACTCTATTCATTAAGTTACCTGCTTACCCCTTTAAGTAAGTTGACTTTGCAACTCCTATATACCTGAAAGTAGGTTTTCTATAATTATGTTTTAGTTCACCTGAAACCATCATACTATGTATGATGATGATTAACTGAAAAGAGTATTAATAATTTAAAAGCTAGCTGGGCTTGGGGTTACACAACTGCAATTCCAGCTACACAGAAGGATGAGGCAGAATTACAAATTCCAGGCCAGACTCAGCAACTTAGCAAGACCCTATCTCAAAAAATAAAAAAGGCTACARGTGCGACTCGGTGGTAAACATTCCTGAGATCCCAATTCCCCTCCACCCAGTTGTAGGATCCCAAAAGTTAAGTCAACTCCTACTAGAGACACTCATAACGGTAAATCAGAATGCTATAGCTACTGCCCGATTTAAAAGGTGCCACACACAGCTTCCATCCCTCTCTGCCAGATCCACTCCTATCAAAGGACCCTTCAATTCTATCTAAACACACACATACATCTTTCCCATGTCCCTGCTCAATGTTACCATCTTAATTCAAACACATCACTGCTAGTATAGACTAAGTTCAAGAGATCTTGGCTTCTATCKTCACCTGTATTTATTAATGGAGGGCATACCATTAAATGGTATACCAGGACCTTCATGAGGCCTATCTCTTCATGGCATCTTACTATTTCCTGTACCCATTTCTTATGAAACCATAATGYTTCTTGAGACTCTAACATTTGCCTTAAGCTTTTCTTCTATAACTGAACAGTGGCACATTTCCTTTACTATTTGATTGTGATGCTAACCTGTAAAGGAAATAAATACTAAGATCACAAACATGAAATTAATTTTCATTTTTCATTCTTTGTTTACTTAGGTGGCACAACCATAACTAACAAGTACCTACACAGATTCTGCTCATCCTTTTAATTTTGAATGCTACTACTGTGAATCCTCAATTGTCCTATAATTATAGAGTTCTTTTTTTACATTGCCATGTTTTCAAGCCTTAAATCACATATGACATAGATGATTATGTGTTAGAACATGTGCCTCTTCTATAGGTTAGACCACGCACAAAAAGGAAAGAACCTAGCCAGGTATAGTGGCACATGCCTGTAATTCCAGCAACTTGGAAGGCTGAAGTAGTAGGATCACAAATTCAAGGCAAGCTTCAATAATTTAGCAAGACCCTGTCTCACAATAAAAAAAAGGGCTGAGAATGTGGCTCAGTGGTTTAGCACCCTGGGTTCAATCCCAAGACCAAAACAAGGGGAAARAACCTCAGTTCATTTAACTTTGTAGCTTTATCATGTAGACATCCTATAACATTCAAAGCCGTACTTTACTGACTTTCAGAAATAACACTATAAAAGCCACAAAAAATATATGAACCTCATAAAGTTCAGTTTCTATATTCTGCTTACATAAAGATGACATCAAATGAGTTCCATTTTTAAATGTAATTAAGAAACTAAGAGATAAGTAACTTGGTCAATGCACTGATGATAATGGGGGAATGAGAATGAGAGTGGCAGAGTYTGGAAAACAGTATAAAAGAATGGGGTGACTTACTGATTCAATCTCCTCTCCAATAATTGGAATATTCTAAATAAATCTGGTCAGGAAGATTACAGGGACAAATACAGAAACAGGAATTCAGGATAAGTAAATGCTGTTGCTAAATGTGCTTCTTAAAGTACTAATAGTTATATTCCAACAGTATGCATGCTTACACGTGGGGGAACTGGGTCTCATTTGTTTCTTTTAATTAGTCTGGATTATTCATGAGAGACAGTATGAAAATTATCACATCTGCATGACAGTAACTGATAAAGAGATAATAAAYTATGCTCATAAATTATAGTAAATTATGCTTAGTCCATTATTTGAGTAAATAAAATGCTGGAATTTGTAAGCTGCCTTGGTGTCTGTTAATAAGCTTAACATCTTTACTCAGATATATCCCAGTATAATCTGGTGTTTCACAACTGTGCACGGACACTACCTTGCCTGCTTAGACCAGCTTAATTTAAACCAGTTCCTGACATTGCTGGTTCCCTCAGTCATGAGGCATTACCTACATACTCCAAGCTCTCTCTCTATAAGACTAAAGTCTCAAATACACAAACTGCACTGATTGCTAGTCAAGAGGAATATTTTATTCCTGATGTTTTTGGTCACTATGTCAGAGACTCCCTGGTTTTTCTTACCCATTTCATCACCCTCAGAATTACGTTGCTAGTTAGAAAACACAATACAACCAATCTTCCTATCACTATCCTATCTCCTGTACCCCTTTCCTAGTCCCTATCACATAAAAYAAGAAGAAAATATACTGTACTTAATTTATGCTACCCTGTAGTTATTTGATCTTGTTACCTCCCTATAGCTAATGTGTTCCAGATGTTCAACTGCCCATTATCACACAGACATCTATCTAAACCGAAAAAGCAAAGGACCAGGAAGGCACAGTTTAAAGAAGCTAAAAGAAAAAACTGCAGGGGACTATGCTCAGCATGATGGCACATGCCTGTAGTCACAGGACTCTGGAGGCTGAGGCAAGAGGATTCCAAGTTCAAAGCTAGCTTCAGCAACTTAGCAAGGCCCTAGGCAACACAGACCCTAACTTAAAATTAAAAAAGGTCTGGGGATGGGCTCAATGGGTAAGCACCCTAGGTTCATTCTCCAATACCACCCCCGCCCCCAAACTCTGATTCTACAAGTTGCTTCTAAGTTTTCAATATATTAAAACTAGAGTGCTGGGGTTGTGGCTCAGTGGTAAAGCCCTTGCCTAGCATGTTTGAGGCACTGGGTTCAATTCACAGAACGGCATATAAATAAATAAAGGTCCATCAACAACTACTAGTAAAAAAAATACACATACACACACAACACACATATAAAAAACTAGAAAGCYGGGGAAACACAAGAACCAATACACACATGAACCAACACATGTGAAAAAGAGAAAGAGAGAGAAAAAAAGATAGATAAACATTGATGAAGAGGAAAAGTAAAAAGCAGAGCATGAAAGGTAAAGAATATTAACACTTTAGGAACATTTACAACAGGGAAAAAAATCCCTGTTAAGTCTTAGTCAGAGCTGCACACACCATACATAGTTAATGCAAGTCAATACTATGTGATTTCAAGGTTCAAGAAATAATAAAATCAATTTAGATGTTTCATGCTATCAAGTAGATTCACAAATGTCCAGGTTATATATTTGTACTGGTGTTATATGCAAGTCTTTGTGTTAAAGCAATTAATAGCAAACAGAGACTAGAGCCATCCAACCTACACTATGTAACACTATTATTCAGTTTCTCTTCATATGGATTTTCCCTCCCTGCCTTCCACCTAATGAACCCTTAATCCTTCCTACCTGCTGTACTACTTGCTCAAYCAAAGCCACTCAAGTTCTAAAACAGAGGTGCAATAATAATAGTTCTTAGTTTAAAAACATTACAGTTCAGGATTCAACATCACATGGCAAGGGCCATCACCAACTGATGCTAGTTTTAAAAGAGCTCCAAAACTGACATTAACACTCCTGTTTTGCCCAGGAGGAGAYTACTCCTAAAGCAAATACTCAATTGAATGAATGCCCCTCTGAGGCTTTTTGTCTGTTTTGGTTTTTGGTGCTGGAGAGAAAATTCAGGGCCTCAGTTTGCTAAGCATGTACCATTGGGCTACACCTCCAACTCATGATTTTTGTTATTCTAAATACCAATTTTCATCGGCCATAAGGTAAAAAAAAATTTGGAGATGAACCTAACTGGATCCAGGTAACAAAAGTATGTAAATCAACCAATCAGAGGAAACATGGGTTAGGATTTCTTTTTYCCCAGACCTAAGACTACAGAGTAAGAAGTAATAAAAATGTTCCAGGATTGTGTATGTGAAGGGGCCAGGGATCATTAAGGGAGAACTGTGGAAAGGATTACAGAAAGTAGTCATGACTATTGCTGTTCTATAACTCTAGCAATGAAGATTGTACAAATGTTGCAGCAAACATTATCACTTTGTTTTTTAGCTGTGTAGGCTTTAGATTGATACATGAATCATAATAACTGAATGGTACTAAACTACAGCAATTAATATGAGCTTTTAATTCACAAAAGCAAGAGTTCTCTACAACTCTTGAGATTTGTTTCCCTTACCTATATGATGGAATTAAACTATTTCTTTTGAAGACTATTGTTATAAACTTAACCCTGGCACATATTAAATACCTATTAAGACTCTTTAACACCAATTTAAGTACTTTTATACAGACTGATATATTTATTATTTTACTTTTGGTACTGGGGAATGAACTTAGGGGTGTTTAAATATGACATCTCTAGCCCTTTTAATTTTTTGAGATAGGGTCTCACAAAATTGCTGAGTCTGGCTTCAAACATGGGATCCTCCTGCTTTGGCCTCCTGAGTCATTGGGATTACAGGTTTGGTCACCGCACCAACCCAGCCTTTTTTTAAGCAAATTAGTGAGGCTGGCATTACAGGTGTGTACCACCACATCTGACCTGAGATTATTCAATATCTATTTTAAACTTTGTGTTCCTGATCATAAAGGCTCTCTCACTGAACAGATTTTAGATGGACACAATACCTTAATTTTGTTTGTTTTTATATGGTGCTGAGAATCAAACCCAATGTCCCATGCAGTGAGGCAAGCACTCTACCTCTGAGCCACAACCCCAGTCCCTGAACAGATTTTCTGAATGAATTTAGTCTTAGTTCCATAGTAGATAAAACCCTTACATTAATTTATACAGTATTAATCCAACTGAAATCTCTATTAGCAGCATGATCATATCTTCCACTCAACTGCTGTTCATAGCCCCTATAAGATAATTTTAGGACTTATAAAGTGAAAGGGGGCAAGTGCTGGCTAATAATTTAAATACTCTTAGATTTATTTTAATCTTCAACAGGAAAATTTAGGAGGCCTTTCTTCCTGTCATAAAGAAAAAATTAGATGTTCTATAAAAATACTTGGATCTTAAATGCGTACCTCTTCCTTAACTCCAATAATTTAGTCCCTTTCCATCAAAATATAAACTCCTGGGTTGGGGCTGTAGCTCAGTGGTAAAGCACTTGCCTCGCATGTGTGAAGCACTGTGTTGGATAAAGACGCTATGTGTTCATCTACAACTAAAAAAAAAAAAAACTTTAAAAAAATATATAAACTCCTTAAGGACAGGGGTTTGTGTTTTGTTCACTGCCATTATTCAGGTCCTGAAAGAARGAAGATAGGAAAGTTTGTCTACCTACATGTGATTTTAGTTTCTCAGCCCATGTTTGTCCCTATGCCTTAAATTCTCACTTGCATTCTCTGCCCCCATCAAATTGTTCAAGAACAAAATTCTTTTTTTTTTCTTTTTAAGAACAAAATTCTTAATGCTGTTCCAGGTACCCCTCTTAGAAAGTTTGCTTGGACTCCTTTAAAAATCTTAACCATTTCCAATCTTCCAAGTGCAGCCATCTATCGTTCAAGAAATAATTAACCATTGGCYATTAATAGCATGATCCCATTTTAAGAAAAAAAATATTTTTAAGAAAAACAAAGGAGGAATGATATGCTTAGAATGTAGGCAGAATACACATTTAAAAGGTCTTTAAAATGTATTTAGTATTCAWTAAAGCTAAGAAAGTGGGCTTTCTAGAAAAGAAAAGCCTTTCAAGTATGTCTGTAATCCCAGTGGCTCAGGAGGCTGAAGCAAGAGGATTGCAAGTTCAAAGCCAGCCTCATCAACTTAGTGAGGCTCTAAGCAACTTAGCAAGACACTAAATAAAAATAAAAAATAAAAAAGGGGTGGGGGAGAGCTGGGGTTGTAGCTCAGTGGTAGAGCGCTAGCCTAACACAGGCAAGGCCCTGGGTTCGATCCTCCGCACCACATAAAAATAAATTAATTGAAGATATTGTGTTCAACTACAATTAAAAAATAAATATTAAAAAAAAATCTTTAAGGGGCTGGGGATGTGGCTCAAGTGGTAGCGCGCTCGCCTGGCATGCGTGCGGCCTGGGTTCGATCCTCAGCACCACATACCAACAAAGATGTTGTGTCCGCCGAGAACTAAAAAATAAATATTAAAAATTCTCTCTCTGTCCTCTCCTCTCTCACTCTCTCTTTAAAAAAWAAWWAAWWAAWWAAAAWWAAAAWWAAAAWAAATCTTTAAAAAAAAGGGGGGTGTGGGGTGTGGCTCAGTAGTTAAGAACCCCTGGGTTCATTCCCTGTTAATAACAAAAAAATCCAATAAATTACTTAAAAAACCAGGGCCACCCCAAGTTGTTCTACTTAAAGATGCATAATGCCAACTATCACTAGTCAGTTGTAAAATCAATGTTTTTACTTATAGAAGAACTTCTTTAGAACCTCTGACATCACAAGAGATCACTGACATATAACACACAGAAAATACTATACAATGTTAAGATTGAATACGGACAGTAAATCAGTAACTGGAACAATCAAATGGGTACTGATTGTGTTCATAAACCAAAAGGGCACTTACTTACCTTAAGGGGCTGGGAGCCTCTCAATCCTGTTTGTCCTCCCATCTGGGGAGTACCCTGCTGCAGTGGATCAGTCAGTAAGTTGCCAGCATTTCCCATGCCTGGATTTGGGTACTGCATATTCGGTCGTCCCCGGCCTGCTCCAATTGAACCGTTCATGACTTGATTAGGCATTATCCCTTGTCCATTGCCTGCAGCCARCATTCCAGGATTCATGCCAGCATTCATCCCTGTGTTCATTCCCATGGAAGGTGGATTTACTGGACTGTTCATCATACCTGTTGTGGACTGTGTGGGACCTTGATTTGGTCCACTAGTGCCCATCCCCATGTTGGGAGAAGTCAAGCCTGCCTGTGTCATTGGGCTTTTGACCATGCTATTTATCAAACCTAATCCAGGACTGTTCTGTTGGGCCTGGCTGGCCATGACTGGGCCTGGGCCACCAACTCCCATGTTGAGGTTAGGGGAACTACCAGACCGTAGCAATTCTGACAACTGTTTATGTTTAGAGGCTGCATCTTGTACTATGCCAAGACTTGTTTGAAGCTGACTAATATCACCACCATTGGTTAATCCCAATTCTGTAGAGTTGATTAATTCATCTGGTAAGTCATGCTCCAGGTCAAACAAAGATCCAAAATCTGAAAAAAAAAAAAAAAAAGGAGGAAAGATGAAAGTTAAAGTCTCACACAACCAAAATCATAAGCCTCTTTGTATTTTGGTTCTGGGTAAGCATTAAATATCATTTCCAAACCTCACTCCATGGATTATCACCTATTTATTATCTGTATTACAATTTTCCATTCTAAAAAAACATTAAGGGGCTCTGTTTATACAAACAAATTCAAATATCTAAGAATGGTACCTAAAATAAGACCAAGGGGGAAAAGGATTGAATGTTGGTATAACACCCATCATGGTAAATTGCTAAAAATTTGTACTAATAATCATGAAAAAGATATGCAATTATTATTCCAGCCTTCCTTAGAAGTTAAAACAAACTAAATTCAAAATAAAAACAACAAACTTTGTGTTGGGGTTGTGGCTAAGTAGTAGAGTTCTTGCCTAACATGTGTGAGGAACTGGGTTCAATCCTCAGCATCACATTAAAAAAATAAATAAAATAAAGGTACTGTGTCCCTGTACAAATAAAAAATATTTTTAAAAAACCAAGTTAAAATGTATGATATACAAACACAGTCAAAACAAACAAACAAACCCCATCCATTTATAAAATGAAATCTACAAATTCATTGTAAGCTCCAGGAAGACAAGAGTTGTCCACTATTTTTTGGCAAGCTCCTACCACAGAGTCTAAAACACAAAGTAGGGTCTTAACCAACTGAGTATATTTACTTTTATATGACCTATAGTCTAMAGAATAGTTTTCCTTAACCAAAATCTAATCAGATCAATATAAAACAGCTTCAACCCCTTCAACATAAACCACCCCATCATGATCATCAGCCAAGGTGATACAAATTATAGACTGACACAAAGCTCTTCAACATTGACACTGTTAGCATTTTAGGCTAGCTAATTCTCTGTTGTGGGGAGAGGGGAGATTGTCTCATGACTATAGTATGCTCAGCAGAATACCAAGTGTGGTGACACACACTTATAGTCACAGCTACTCTGGAGGCTGAGGCAGAAGGACTGCAAATTCAAGGCCAGTCTGGGCATCTTAAGTCACTGACTCCAAAAAAAAAAAAAAAGATGGGCTAGAGATATAACTCAATGTAGAGCACGCCATCCCTGAGTACAGAATATCTCTCCCCTCACAAAGATAATCAGCAGATCCTTGGTCTTGTCACTTGATGCCACTAGCACCTGTACCCCAACTGTGACAATCAAAAAACATTTCCAGACATCACCAAATGTACCATGGTGGGGCAAGACTATGGACAGTATTAACCTAATATCATTTGAGATGTTGAGTTTTCTTTCCCTTTAATTCTTCAAATAGAGCTCACATGAAAGGAAGTATTAATAAGTATTTATATCCCATAAAAAAGTCTAAACCTTAAAGACAAACTACCATTTTAATGATCTACTTGATCCAATTAGTATTGGTTCCTAAGGAGAACTCCTCTTCTGTGTAACCTTCATATTCTTGGAGCATTCTATCTTATCACTGAAATTACGATTATGTCTGCTTTTCTCCCCTTTCCCTGTTACCTTACTACCCCTCAACCCACYCATTTACCTAAACAGCAGATCTTTACAAGCACAAGTCCTACCATTACACACCAATTTCTTGCCTAGTGCTCATCACAGTAAGCATCTGGTCATAAAGAAACTGACTAAACTGATTTGTACCCTAAAACCTCAGGATATGATTTAGAACCCAGACTTTTACAGATCTTTCTCTTTCCTATTGAAAAAAATCCTATGGGTCTCTCCATTATAAAAACAAAACATTTGCTGGGTTTGGTGGTGCACACCTGTAATGTCAGCAGTTCAGGAGGCTGAATGAAGCCCTAAGTAACTAAGCAAGACCCTGTCTCTTAAATACAAAAAAGGTCTTGGGATGTGGCTTAATGGTTGAGTGCTCCTGAGTTCAATCTCTGGCACCAAAATAAACAAACAAGTAAATGAAAACATAATAAACTATGAATAGCTTGAAAACAAAGTTTTCAATAAAATTAACCTAAAGCTTTATTCAAAAACAACTACAGGCTGGGAGTATAGCTGGGAGTATATTAACACTCGTTAATGAACCTTCTCTAGGAATTTCAAGGCCCTGGTTCAAACCACAGCAAACAAACCCTGACCCAAAAAAGACAACTGCTWAATAAACTGCTGTTATTTTCTTCATTTTTTCTGCTAATTATATTATTTACAAGATCATATTTTATGCCCAATTTTTATATTTCCCCTGGATTACCCAAGAAAATATGTTGGCATCAGCATACTGAACATAGACAGAAAAAATTAATCTCCATCTACAACAATTCAAAACTTAAAAGACATGTTAGAAAATAAGGACAAAAATTCAGGAAGTAAACATCCAAGTTACTATATTTGAAAAAGAACAGAAAAAATGGTAAAAGATAAAAATGAAAGAGAGGGACTGGGGTTGTGGCTCAGTGGTAATGTGCTTGCCCAGCATGCGTGAGGCACTGGGTTCAACTCTCAGCACCACATACAAATAAATACAATAAAGGTCCATCAACAACTAAAAAATATTTTTTAAAAAATGAAAGAGAACATAAAAGATACAAATGATAGGGTATCAATAAAATTAAACAATGACTCTTTCAAGAGAGTAATAAAAAACTTCTGGAAAGGTTAATGAATGAAAATAAATAAATAAATAAAATAAAGCAATGAGGGCTCAGTGGTAGAGCGCTTACCTAGCATGCATGAGGCACTGGGTTCGATCCTCAAAGTGATAAAGAGTAATGTTTATTTAAAAAATAAATAAATAAGTAAAGCGATGCTATTAATTTTGTGCAAAATGTGAAAACATACAAAAATGGATAAACACCCAATGAAATACTTCAACCAGGGCTGGGGCTGTAGCTCAGTGGCAGAGCGCTTGCCTAGCATGYGTGAGGCACTGAGTTCAATCCTTAGCACCACATAAAATAAATAAAATAAAGGCATTCTGTCCATCTACAACTACAAAAATTTTAAAAATACTCCAACCATAATCAAAAAGAAACTGTCTCAATTTCTACAACAAATTATTGCATAAAAGGAGAGAAAAAGAAAAAAAGCTTACTATAAAAAGATACACCAGGTGCAGTAACAGACATCTGTAACCCTAGGCGACTTGGGAGGCAGAGACACACGGATTGCAAGAGTGAGGCTAGCCTCAGCAACTTGGTGATATCTTCTCTCAAAAAATGAAAATGGCTGGGGATGTAGTTTAGGTGTACTCTTTATATTCTTAGAGCATTCTGGGTCTAATCCCCAGTACTACAAGAATAAAYGATTCAACAACTGGAGCTATTTGGATTCTAATTTGAACAAATCAAATGTAAAACCACCTTCTGAAATCACAATATACTACAGACTGAGTAGTGGGTAATATTAACAAATGACTAATCACTGAGTATGATGATATAGCAACAATGTTAAATAAATCCTTTTTACTGAGACACACTGAAGTTTCTGTCAAAGGATCTGGTTGAGATTTACTTTAAAATACTCCATTAAAAGCTGGACACGATTGCTTGCACCTGTTTTCCTAGCTACTCTACGACTCTATAAGACAGGAGGATCATAAATTTGAGGCCAGCCTGGACAACAAATTGAGATCCCATCTCAATAAGAAAGAAACATACACAYACCCCTAAAATACTCCAGTGAAAAGGGAGAGGCTTGAAAATACTTGAAGCTCAGCAATGGGCACATGGGAGTCCTAAATAATTCCATTATTATCAGAGAAAATCAATCTTTGGTTAATCTTTCCATAAAGAAAGCACCATATTATTGGCCTGGGGTTGTAGCTCAGTGATAAAGCGCTTGACTAGCATATGTGAGGTGATTCTCAGCAGCACATATAAATAAATTAATAAAATAATGGTCCATCCACAATTTAAAAAAATACTTTTTAGTTGTAGTTTGGACACTATTAATATCTTTATTTTACTTATTTTTTTTAATAGTTATTTTTTAGTTGTAGTTGGACACAATACCTTTTTATTTTATTTATTTATTTTTATGTGGTGCTAAAGATGGAACCCGGGGCCTCGCACATGCTATACATCTATCGCTGAGCTACAACCCCAGCCCAAAGAACACTATTTCTATTCAATACTGTTCTAGAGTACGCAAGTAGAACAATAAGAAAAAAAAAAATCACAAGTTTGAAAAGAAAACAAAACTTATCTGCAGGTGATAACTATTAACACAGGAAATCCAAAGCAAATATATCAAAACATTACACTGTACTCTATATAATTACCAACTCGAAGATCCTAAGTTTGTTTTGTTGTTGTAGACGGACACATACCTTTATCTTATTTATTTTTATGTGATGCTGAGGATTGAACCCAGTGCCTCACACATGCTAGGCCACAACCCCAGCCCAAGATCCTRAGTTTTTCAGGGAAATCAGATAATTCTAAAGAATACACAGTACAACCAACCTAGTTTCCACCTCTGTATAACAGGCAAATACCTACTTCCTGTCTTATTTATAAGGATGGAATTAATATATAAAATGCTTAGAACAGTGCCTGGCATATATTTCACACTGTAAACATGTTACCTATTTTTATTTAATGAACCACTTACTCTATTAGGAGACAGACAAGCATTTATCAGGCATGTTCAATATGTCCAGCACTATACTTGGCACATCACATATGGTTCTCATAATTTATTTTCTCAATAATCTCAGAAGTAAATAACAACTAAATGTACAGATCTCACTGAGGAAGGGTAAGTGTTAGTAATAATGATGTCAGCAATAAGGAAGTATAATTTTTGGCCCTAGATTGAGGATTTAACCTGCATTACCCTTAAATCTAGTGTGCTAGATTTAGATTTGCTTGCTTGCTGTCTCTTGTTGATACAAATATTTAACATTACAAATTAGGGTCTCCTATAAAGGGGGGTCAGTTACTACAGTAGTAGATACTGAAAATAAAGGTTTGAGGGTTGATTTTTTTTTAAAACTGGTAATCCT